AGTTAATAGATGTGATTCACTAGTATAATGCCATTGGGGGAAAAAAAAGTGGGGAGGAGCCCACATGCTCTGGAAGGTAGATAGTCATAAAGTTTTGGTCACCACAGTTCATCAAGGACATGGAGAAGTGTGTGAGGATGCAGAGATGAAAGCCAAAGGCAATTAAAGTAGTGGAAACAGGTCCTGTGAGGAAAGGTTGCATAATTAAAGCAAAAACGCCAAGGGATTCACATTTGATTACTAATTTCATGTATACACGTATTTTTTTATGAGATATATTCTTTATATCCACAAAAAATAAGCATGAAGAAATTAGCTTAAAGTATAACGAGCAAGTTTTGGTTGGCTATGAAGAAAAATAGTCTAGCTAATTGGATTAAAAATGCAAATCTAACCATGTTATTCTCTAGTTAAAAACAAACAAACCCTTAATTGACTTCCCATTGTTTCTAGGTCAGCATCTACTTATTTTTTTTTAAATGAAGTATATAATTTATTTATTTATTTTAAAATAATTTTTTATTGATTTCAAAGAGGAAGGGAGAGGGAGAGGGAAAGAGAGAAATATCAATGATGAGAGAGGATCATTGACCGGCTGCCTCCTGCATGTCCCATAATGAGGATCAAGCCTGCAACCTGAGCATGTGCCCTTGACCGGAATAGGATCAAACCCAGATCCTTTAGTCTGCAGGCCAATGCTTTATCCACTGAGCCAAACTGACTAGGGCTGAGGCATCTAATTTATTAGTTAGCTGATTTTTAACAAATCAAGGTTCAAGTGACCTTTTTTTTTTTTTTTTTTTTTTAAAGCAAGATAATGTGTAACAATGATTTGGGGATTTTAATTGGTTGGGAAATGGAATACTGAATGGTACAAAAATAATGTCATATTAAAAATAAATAGAGATAAATAGGAAAAAGATGAAAAAGAGGGGAAAATAAACAGAATCCAAAATTGCTTATGTTGTGGCCCAAATGTTCTTTCTATGTTTTATTGAGACCCAGCTTGAATCCCAGACAGAGTCAGCTTCAATCATGAAGTGGATGAGCTATAATGTATGATAGTGTTCTGTCTGAGGAACAGCTTAATACTAGGTTTAATAAGCAAATCCGCATTTGTATGGTTTATGATTAAATAAAATGTTTAAGGTATGTATGTGTGTGTTTTTAAAGTTACCCATTCCTGTACACTTTGAGGCTAATTTTTTTCAACTTTTAATCTAGAATAATTTCAAACATTAAGTTAATAAGTATAGTACAAAGAATATCCATTTATCTTTACCCAGATTTACCTATTGTTATCATTTTACCCCATTTGGCACACATACACACACACACATACACACACACAATTTTTGTTCTACCCATTTGAGAATAAACTGCATACATCATGGACCTTTACATATAAATCTTTCAGGGTATATTCTTTCAGAATAAGAATATGGTCTTACAAGGACTGCAAGGGATAGGCATCCACTTTAGTAAGTTTAATACAGTATTTTAATCTGCCATCCATATTCCATTTGTTTCCTTTCACCCAATAATGCCCTTCACGGGTGTTTTCTTTTCCTGTACGATCCAGCCAAAGCCTGTGTTTTTCTTTCTTTTTTTTTTCTTTTTTAAAAAAAATTTTTTATTGATTTTTTACAGAGGAAAGGAGAGAGATAGAGAGCTAGAAACGTCGATGAGAGAGAAACATCGACCAGCTGCCTCCTGCATGCCCCCCACCGGGGATGTGCCCGCAACCAACGTACATGCCCCTGACCGGAATCAAACCCGGGATCCTTCAGTCCGCAGACCGATGCTCTACCACTAAGCCAAACCAGTTTCGGCCAAAGCCTGTGTTTTTCAAAATGGCATCTGAGGCCATCCACAAACAAAACTGTAGGGTTACCTCTTTCCAGGTGCAAGCTCCTCACCTTGCCCTCCACGCCAGGTTCACGCCCCTGTGCCTTCGTTTCTGGTCCTGGAATGCTAGAACCCCTTTCTTTACACAATGCCTACTTTTCTTTTTCTTTAAATAATCAGACATATATGAAGACTCTCCTTACTATCCTCCTACCCAACTGGAAGTCAGGGGGCTTTCTCCTTTCCCCCTCCCCACATCTGGGACCCGAGGTGTACTTGACATATTCTAGTGCATATTCATGAATACATATCTGCCCTGCCTTCCCCCAATCACCCTCATCCCCTTCTATGAGACTCTGAGATCTTTGAAAAAGTAAACCATAGTTTATTCTCCAGATGTCAACATGGGGTCTGTCACACACATTGTGCTTTATAAATATTTATCAGCAATGGAATATGTCATGAAAAGAGCTGCTGAAGGAAATTGTAGGAGTCTGATCCTAAAGAGCTTCCAAAGGAAGGAAAATGCCCTCCAATCACGGGCCTTAATAATTCTAGGGGGAAGGGGAAGGAGTTTGGGTTGGGGGGATTGGTCTCTTCCAATTAAATGGTAGAATATGGTGAAACGAGGCCTAACCTTCACATTTCTTAAGTTTTCTCAAGGTCATGCACAGACTTCACAAGAACATGGACTGGATTTTCTTTTTAATTTTTAACTTTTAATCAAATTTAGACTTCCAGAAACATTACAAAAATAGGACAGAAAGTTCCTAGAAACCATTGACCTAGCTTCCCCTAATAACAAATATCTTCTATAACCATAGGATAATGATCAAAGCCAGGAAGGTGGATTTGGCACAAGGCTATACTAACTAAACTACAGACCTTATTCAAATTTCACCAACTTTTCCACTAATGCAACTAACGTTGCATTCAGTTGTCATGTCTCCTTAATTGCCTCCCATTTGTGATGGTTCCTCAGTCTGTCATTGCCTTTGTGATCTTGACACTTTTGAAGCCTATTGGCCTGTCTTTTGTAGAATATCCCTCATTTTGGGTTTGTCTGATGTTTTCTCATGGATAGATTGAGATTCTGCATTTTTACAAGAATACCACTATGATATTGTGATGTTGTGCCTTCTCAGAGCATCATGTTCAGGGTACATGAAGACATATGTCTTATTAATGATGATGTGGAACTTGATCACCTGGATAAGGAGGTTTCTGTTGGATTTTTACTTATGGAGTTATCATCTTTTTCTTTGACATTAATAAATATTTTAGAGATGCTTTGAAAATATGTAGATAATCCTGTTTCTCTTCAGACTGTTATCCACTAATAGATGCATCCATTAGAGAATCTTGTTGGTAACAAATTTCACTGTTATGTTTGCCTAAATGAATTTCTTATTGATTAGGAAGAATTCTTCTGGAAGAAGGAGCTGCAGACTGGATTTGGATTTAGATGCAGAATGTCACATACTTCTAATCAATATTTTCTGCTCTTGTGATTCTTCAGATAATTAATAGCTGTATTTTTAAAATGTTTTTAATGTTCTTATTAATGTATTTACATTTTATTAATGCTTATGTAAAGGCATTATAATCACATACATTATTACTGTATTTTCTTTATTATAAGCAAACTGAATGACTCTCAGTTTTATAACTGAAAAAAATCAATGGCATTAGAAAAACAGAATTAAAAAAATTTTTTTTAGTAAAAACAACAACAACACCTGCCCAGGACTGCCCAGCCAGCTCAGTGGTTGAGCATCGACCTATGAACTAGGAGGTCACCATTTGATTCCCAGTCAGGGCACATGCCCAGGTGGCAGCCTACTGGGGTGTGCATGAGTCTTACAATCAGTGATTCTCTGTCATCATGGATGTTTCTATCCTCTCTCCCTCCCCTTTCCTCTCTGAAATTAATAAAACAATTTTTAAAGAAAAATCCTTAAAATAAATAAATGCATACATACGTAAATACACAAATAAATAAATTTCTTTTTTTTTTTTTAAAGGGTATACAGAATTCAAATAGCAGCAAAAATAATCTAGGTGAAATACTAGGAAAAGCTTCTTAATATTAAGGACTGTGACATAAATATTTTACATCTTCCATGCTATCTCCCTCTCCCTCTCTGAAATCAATAAAAAATATTTTTAAAGATAAATAAATAAATGAATAAAAATATGAATGATGTTAAAAGGGGCACAGCCTCCATAAAAAATCACTAGCTCTTTGTTTAGCTTCTGAATGTCTAGTAGTAAAAATCATACTGTTTTGCCTAGCTACAAATACATCATGGAGCACAAATACGCTCTCTATCAGGAGAACTTGGATTTGAGCATTTCTCGGTTTTGTATGTTTGCATTGTTAACTGTAGCAGAATTACAGAACACGGTATATTTAGCATGAGCTCGGCAGTTTTCAGGGACCATAGCTATCGTGCAGGGTTTGCCCACAGTGGTTAGTAAAAACAAAAAAGCTATGAATTGCAGATTCATTTTTGAGTCAGTGACAAATTCGCTTTCCAAAAATGCTATCTCTTGTTTTACAAAGAATTGTAAAAGACCATTATTTAGATCACAGACGGCAAACATTTTTTGGTAAAGGGTCAGAAAATAAATACTTTTGGCTAAGTAGGCCAGGCAGTATTTGTCATAACTATTTAACTCTGCTGATGTAGTGTGAAAGCAGCCTTGTAGATTACGCAAGTGAGTGGGCAGGACTGTGTTTCAGTAAAACTTTATTTATAAGAACAGGTGGTGGGTGCGGTAGAGGTCAATGGGAATAAAAGGGGGACATCTATAATACTTTTCAACAATGAAGATAAATTAAAGAAGAAAAAAAAGAACAGGTGGCTGGGCTGGCGGGGGAGGATTATAGTCTGCTGATACCCGATTTAGGCTATGAAAACACACAAACTCACAATGTGCAATAGCATTTATGCTTGTCCCTGATTTTTCTCTGCAGGCAGAAGACGGATCTTTGAAAATATGTATTTGGGAGACAGTCACGCTCTGCTGAATACCTTGTGCGGGTGCTGCCACAGGAAAATCTGGTTACACTCCGGGGAGGCCTGCTGCCGCCGCAGCACTGCGCCGCCTCGGCTCTGAGATGAGTGTCCGGCCTGCGCGGGCACACCATGAATAGGTACACAACGATCAGGCAGCTCGGGGATGGAACCTACGGTTCCGTCCTGCTCGGAAGAAGCATTGAGTCTGGGGAGCTGATTGCCATTAAAAAGTAAGTTTTGCCCTCCGCCCACTACGCGTTGTCAAAAGGGGACTGCGTGGGAAGGAGCCTAGACATTGATTTCTGTGGGTTAGGTGATTGCAGACTCTGGAATGCTCATGTCTGAGGTTCTTACAAATAAAGTTTTACTGAAACACAGTCCTGCCCACTCACGTGCATAGTCTATGGCTGCTTTCACACTAAACACATTCCCTTGCATCCTGGGTTTCTGGTTAGCGAATAGGCCTCTCTTCGTCACCTCAGGCTCCATGCCAGGGACCGGCAAACTTTGTTCTGTAACGTGGCAGACAGTAAATATTTTAGGCTTTGCAGGCCATATGGCCCCCCCGTCACAACTCACTTCTGCTGTTGTAGTGGGAACGCAGTCATAGACGATAGATATGAGTGAGTGTGGCTGTATTCCAATAAAACTTCATTTACAGAAACTGACATTTGAATTTCAGATAATTTTCACATGTCACAAAATATTCTTCTTTTTTTGATTGTCTTTATTCCAACTATTAAAAAATATAAACACCATCTTAACTCATGGGCTTTACAAAAACCTATGGTGGGCTGGAGCCCGTTTGGCTCAGTGGATTGAGCGTTAGCCTGCAGACTTGAAGGGTCCCAGGTTCGATTCCGGTCAAGGGCATATACCTTGGTTGTGGGCACATCCCCACGGAGGGGTGTGCAGGAGGCAGCTGATCGATATTTCTCTCTCATCGATGTTTCTGGCTCTCTATCTCTCTCCCATCCTCTCTGTAAAAAATCAATTAAATTTTTTTTTTTTAAAAAAATCAAAAATAGCCAAGGCTGGTTTGGCTCAGTGGATAGAGCGTCAGTCTGCGGACTGAAAGGTCCCAGGTTTGATTCCAGTCAAGGGCATGTACTGTGGTTGCGGGCACATTCCTAGTAGGAGGTGTGTAGGAGGCAGCTGATCGATGTCTCTAACTCTCTATCCCTCTCCTTTCTTCTCTGTAAAAAAATCAATAAAATATATATTTTTTTAAATCAAAAACAATAAAACACATATGTGGGGTGGAGTTGGGGTGAGACATACCTTGCCAACCCTTTTACTGGCGTGTCTAGAGCTGTGATGTCTAATAGGGTAGCAAGTAATCATATGTGACGTTGAAATGTAAACTTAAGAATTCAGTTCCTGTGTTGCACTAGCCACATGTGTCTAGCTAGTGGTGACCATACTGGACAAACAGAACATTTCCAGAGAAACAAAGTTCTATTGGACAACTCTGGTCTAGGTAAAATAGGAATGAGGGATCCCCCCCGTGGCCAGGTTAACTATAATAATTAGTGATAAAGCAAGACGCAGTCCAGGCCACCTTGTGCTACGCTGCACCACCTCTGCTGGGAGAATTGGTGATGTAGGATTGATTTTAAAATAAGTGCTGTTTTGGAGAGTATAATATTTGATAGGAATCAAAGCCAATTTTAAGCACTATTTAATAGTTTCAGAATGAAAACATCAAAAAGAAAGGTTATCCTGTGACTTAGGAGTAAGCATACTATTTGTTTCTTCTCTTTTAGAATGAAAAGGAAGTTTTATTCCTGGGAGGAATGCATGAACCTTCGTGAGGTTAAGGTATGTATTAATACAATAGGAAATAATTTATGTATAGTTGATTAAAAGAGTGTAATATATGCTTACTTTTTTTGTGTGTGGATATATTCATTCTCTTTGAATTGCTTCACTGATGACCTAAAAAAAAAGAGGGGAGGAATGTTAACATTATTCAGTTAATAGCTCAAGATAGAAGATTGCTATGCTATTAATGAGTGTATATATTGGTATATTACTCTTAAGTTAATCACAGCTTTATTCAGATTTCAGTAATTTCCCACTAATGTTCTTTATCTCAAATTGTGATGAAAATTTGCTATCTTACCAATTTGTAAGTACATACATATTGTTTTTTGTTTGTTTGTTTGTTTGTTTTTATTTATTTTTTTAAAATATATTTTATTGATTTTGTACAGAGAGGAAAGGAGAGAGATCGATGTTAGAAATAAAAAAATATTTGATTCCTATCAAAGTTAGAAACAGCGATGAGAGAGTGTCATCGATCAGCTACCTCTTGCACACCCCCTACTGGGGATGTGCCCGCAACCAAGGTACATGCCCGGGTTCAATCTGCCTCTCTGCGCTGATACAGCTGTCCTGCTCCTTCCTCTCCTTTGTAGACCTCTCCTGAGCCACAGTAAGATACCTTCTTCTCAGAAATATTCCTCTGTAAAATGAGTCGCATGAAGTCCTCCACACAAAGTTAATTCTTTTTATGTTAAACCAATACATGCTTTAACTTGCTCATGAGCCTCGCTTAGAAACCAGAGCTGTGAGCCACTCAGCCTTGGGCCAGTAATTCATGCTCAAAACGCACTTCAGGCTAGCAACAGAAGGTACCCTATTCCTTGCCTAGAATTCTCTTCTTGAAAAAATTTAAAAAACTTACTTCATTTTCCTCCGAACAAATTTGCTGCTCGTCCCCTGGACATCTCAGCCATTGTGTGGGAGGCACTGTTAGCAAGCAGGCAGGAGCGATGGCTGCAGTCTGCAAGAGCCCAGCAAATGCTGTTTACAAGTGAAGCAATGTTTGTTTTTGTTACTCATGGAGAATCAGGAATCCAACCCAACTGACAAAGTCATCTGCATGGTGTGGCCATTCTCGAAGGATCTGTCCATTTGGCCCTAACAGCTGAGTATTTCCTGCCAGAAAGGCATGTTGGCTGCAGCTGGCCTGGCCGGGAAGAGGCACCAGAGAGTCTTCCTTTGCTCTCGTTCACTGGCCAGAGCCCCCTCTCTTCCCAGCTGCTTGGAATAACTTGATCTTCCTGCACATTCCCAAGCTCTGGTCCCTGGGGTACCTTATCGCCCAGTGTCCTTCCAGCTTTGAATAGTCATGCTAACATTTCATCTTCAGGCATGGCGTTTGTTTTATAAGAAGGATGTCCTTTTAAGGACATGCAAAGATAAAAGAGGGCTTTGCAATGTGTTATTATTGGGCTCCCTTCTCTGTGAGGAAGTGGCTTTTTGAATGACAGGGCTCATCCCACTGGCCAGGGTGACCCCTCAAGGCTTCCTGCAAGGAGCCTGTCTATCAAATTCTAAAGTCTAGTGAGCACACCAGGAGCTGGGTGTCTCTGGCTGTCACACATGAATGGGATCGCTGCTCACCATTGACAGAACGAATGAGGCAAGCAAAAAATGGTTTACACTTGGCCATACTCAAGAGTGCGTTCCCTGAAGAGGAAACCTACATGCACGGAAGGCTGAATAATGAGGTCAGGCAGCATTTTCCAAGTCACCTTCTTGTTCCTTGTGGCTCACTTGTGTTGCCTTTGATGTTCTTGGAAGCAGAGATATTCCTCCCATATTCCTCCCAAATCTCTTTCCAAAGAGATTTCGCTTCCTTCGCCCTCTCCTTCAGAACTTACCGCGTTAAGGAGCACTCTGTGTCCTCTGGACACAGGTGAACCAGATGAGAGCTGACAGAATCAGGCTATCGGCCCCTGTTTGAACAATTTCTTGTTCATGATGTCTGCAGACTGTCAACTGGGGATCTTGCCGCAAGGCAGCTGCCTTCTCCAATACAGGCACAGCCCAGACATATGGAGGATTCAGTTCCAGACCACTGCAATAAAGCAAGCTGTAATCTTGTTTGCTGGTGGAGGGTCTTGCCTTCCAATTTGTAAAAAGCAAAACACAACACAACATCTGTGAAGCACAATATAGTGAAGTGCAATACAACGAGGCTTTCCTGTGCTAGAACAGTCGAAGCCTCATCTTCCATTAGATTCCTCTCTCCACCTCCCAGGAATGAGTTCTGTTATCTGGAGGGGAACACACGTCAGGTAGCCCTAGCCCACTGCCCGGTGCCGGCGGCACCAGAAATATCCATTAAGGCCACGCATTTACCGTTCAGTCAGTTTTATCAAGATAGTTTTTCCATGTAAAGTTGCTGTGGATTTCATTGACATATTTATGAAATTGTTGTTAAAATATGAATTGTGGTCTTTCTGTGGTTCTTCCTAAGTCTACATGGGGTTGCTTTTCTTTTTCAACAATAGAACCTCTTTTGGTTTCTCTTCCTCGCCTTTCAGTCTTTAAAGAAGCTCAACCATGCCAATATAGTGAAATTAAAAGAAGTTATCCGGGAGAATGATCATCTTTATTTTATCTTTGAGTACATGCAGGAAAATCTCTACCAGCTCATTAAAGAAAGGTACGATTTGGTTTTCGTGATCTTAGAAATAACTATTGCAAAGTGGACGTGTTTTCTTTCTGCTTTTATTTTTTTTATCAGTCATGCTCCTTAGGCTGTGCTGATTAAAGCTGCTTGTTAGAGGCCAGACCTCCATTCCTACTTCGGAGGCCTTGGGCTGGAATCATAGAATCTAGTTTCAATGAAGCTATTGTCATGTTTTAATGGCTTATTCACCCAAAGAAGCTCAGACATGTAACAGACATTCTGCAGTTCTCCATTCCCACAAGGACCTGTGGGCAGAGCAACTGCAAGTCAAGGTGTAAAAGCTTCATTCACTTTGAGCCCTCCCTCGAAAACTTCTGGGTTCATTTCCATTCCTTTCTCACCACAATGCTCAGGGGCTTGTGCACGGGCAGAGGAGACTCATAAAAAATTTACCTGCTATGGTAATTAGGAACTTTAAAAGTGAGCCATGTAGAACCTCTTGGGCACATTTTCTTGGTGGCAGATGCAAGCCATTCACAGAATCCCTTTGAGTGATTCCAATCGACAAGGATTGTCCTTATTGAAAATCATAGTAAAGAAGATGTGTAGTTTGCCCAACCATTGAGGAAAATGTTACTCCCTACTACATATCATAAAGCCTGAAATTTTCCCCATTAAAATATTTTTAAAGTCTTAACTTATATTGAGAGAGGAGATTTTTATATGTTACACTAGAGGCCTGGTGCATGAAATTTGTGTATGGGGGAGAGGGGTGTCCCTCAGTTCAGCCTGCACCTTCTTCAATCTGGGACCACTTGAGGGATATCTGACTGCCCATTTAGGCCCGATCTCAGTGGGCCTAAACAGGCAGTCGGACATCCCTCTCATAATCCAGAACTGCTGGCTCCCAACTTCTCACCTGCCTGATTGCCCCTAACCGCTTCTGCCTGCCAGCTTGTTCACCCCCTAACCACTCCCCTGCCAGCCTGATCAACACCTAACTGCTCCCCTGCCAGCCCGATTGCCTCTAATTGCCCTCCCTTGCCAGCATGGTTGCCCCCAACTGCCCTTCTCTGCTGGCCTGGTCACCTCTAACTTCTCTCCTTTGCCAGCCTGGTCTCTCCTAACTGCCCTCCCCTGCAGGCAAGATCACCCACAATTGCCCTTCCCTGTTGGCCATCTTGTGTCCACATGAGGGCAACTATCTTGTGTGTTGGAGTGATGGTCAATTTGCATATTAGCTCTTTATTATATAGGATTAGCAGGAATTTTGTTGGGGGGTTTATTATAAGATATTTCATCATTGCTTCTTTGTAACATAATTAAATATATTTAGTGTGTATGGGCAAATGGCTGTTTTTGCTCTGTATTATCAAAGGATCTGGTCAAATTAGCACGTGAGCAAATGTTTTCACAAGTTCTTACTATGAATTCTATTTTCATTTGTAAATCTAGATTTATAACTTTTTTCCTCTGCTCCATACAGAAATAAGTTGTTTCCTGAGTCTGCTATAAGGAACATCATGTTTCAGATACTGCAAGGACTTGCATTTATTCACAAACACGGTAGGTGATTTGGATTATTGTTCTTCTGAATAGCAGTGAAATATTGTCATCGGGTGGATGCAGGAAGCATTGTGTATCTTGCAATTGACTCCTGGAGAAGGTTGAAGAGTTGAGAGGTTGACAGTGGATTTTGGAATACGTTATCTTCCATTACTTGATTTCTGAATATCCCTCATTATTTCTCATGTCTGTGTATTCTTCTTCTTTGGGCTTTAATGTTAAGCTTGTTAGTTATAGATCTAAAATCATTCCTGACTTAAATGGTGTACTAATTAGAAACCCAAGATTAGAATTCAGAGAAATTTCACATATTATGTTGAACCCACTAACACTGATTTACCGTGGCTTCTCATTTTCCTAATGTATTTATATTTTAATTTGTTCAGAGGGGTTCAAAAATAGTCTAACAAGGTTTATGCAACATAGGGAAATTAAATTAATTAAAAGTTAGCAAAAAAAGAAAAAAGCAGAGGCCAAGTAAGCTATAGTACAGCTGTAGCCAGGGGGTAAGGCTAATCCACAAAATGCATCTTGACCTGTCTTACTTAAGTAGAAGGAGCAGGCTACAGATTTGATTCTGAGCTTGCTTTCTGACAATGAGAAATGTGAAGCATGACAGATTACAAGCTACATGGTTTCCCCGAGGTAAAAAACAGTCTGTTTGCCCAAGAGAAGCAGACTATTCTTGGTACCGAGACCAGGGAGGTTCTCTTATGTGCCCTTATAGAAGAAATAATATGTAATGTGACTTCATGGTAAACACAGTGACATGGGGAAGTCTCATGTCACATCCCCCTCAATACAGGCCAGTTATATCATCACCTGATCAGAGAAAACAGTTCGACTGAGGCCCAGGATAATTCCCTCTGGGGATGGTCTGGTTAGTCCGAGGAAAGAGAGTGTTTAGAATAATGGATGGTGCATACTCTTTAGAAAAGCCTCTATCACTTTTGTTCTTCTTGGCTGAGCTTTTGAAAGATAATGAGTTTGAGGTTATATTTTCCAGCAAGTATCTGGGGCATTACTAGTCTTTGTTACTAGCTGCACGCAGCCCACCTAGGATGAATCGATACCTCCTTGAGAACACAGAGCAGTGGGATGGACATGTGCACCAGTAGAGCCAGGAGATGCTGCAGGAGGTCATTTGAGGTCACTTTAATATATAGACAGATGGGCTAAGCAGCTGATCTTGCCCAGAGAGAAATTCAACAAATGAATTTCCTAGTAAGGAAACTGGGTGGAAATCCTTTGATAATACAGTCAGTTCAGATTTGATACAGATTGGTAGTGAGCAGAAAAGACCTCGTGCCACCGTCCATCTGGGATTGTTCCCAGGCTGTTCTTTAACCCCTAAGTAGCCGCTTACAGTTAGAGACTAAATTAAACACAAACAATAGTCAGGCTAACTGTACAGATTCTTGTCAGCCTCACGCACATGCTGAGTAACCAGTGAGTAATTGCAAGACTGAGTCAAATTGTGAACTAGTTCTAGTAAAAAGTTTTTAATAAAAGGTGTGTCTGATTCTGCTGACATGGATAGCGCTAGCACGTCAGCCTGTATTCACCAGAATTCACAAGGCATAGTATTAATTTGCAAAACACGAAACATTTATAGTAAGGCATTAGGGACAAATGGGGGAAAGAGTCACTTACTAGATTTAAGAGCACAGGAAAAAGAAATGATAAGAAATCAAAGAGATTCTCAAAAGAGAAAGGCCAACCAGAATGTCTTCAAATCGGGACCAGTGATGGGGCATCTCGGTTGCTTGGGCTCCTTGCTCAGAGCTGGCAACTGAAATTCTTTAGCTTTCTCTTCTTTTGCTGCTTTTATGAGACTCATATATTTTCAAAAAGAGCATGTAGCCTTTTATCTAGGTCTCTCTCTAACCCATCAAATGAATGCATGCTCATATCCTCATACTTGTGCATACACATCTACATGTACACATACCCACATGTGCATGTATCTACACACACACACACAACATATATACATATCTACATATCTACATATATACTTATCTAATAATCTAGCATCCATATACTATTGTGTCAAAGCAGTTCTTTGGAACTCCACACTATCAGTTTTGCTTACACACCTTAGACTTGTTACAATTCCCAATGCACAAAGTTTTGCAAATATTAGCACATTGAATTCTGCAAAATAATCCTACGAGGTAGATGCTGTTATTATCCCATTTTACAGATGAGGAAAGTGAGGCACAGAAAGGTTAAATCATTTGCCAGCCAGTACACAGAATTGGGGTTTGAAATCAGATTGTGTATGAGAAGCTGGGCTTATTGAGAAGGTCAAACCACCTTTATTTTATAACCCCAGCACAGTTGCTATGACCAGAGTTTCTTGACACTTTCCCTAGCTGTTAAGTGCCCAGTTCTAGGTATAACTTACTAACTTTTCATCTGTCACTTTATGTATTTCCATGCCAATTTCTCAGGTAGAAAGGATAGCTGGTATCTGTTCCTTCCAAAGAGGTCTAGAGAGCTTTACAGACCTGTCCCAGGTCTGCAATGAAGCGGAAGAGCAGAGATCAGCTCAGATACCTGTGCCCTTTGGCCACGCTTCACTAGACAAACGTATCTTCCCAGCAAACAAGAGAGTAAGAGGCTAAGAAAATAGTAATAATAATTGTAGGTGGATATTAACTTTACAGGTCCTACTTCATTTTCATTGATACATGATTTCTGGAAACGTTTTAATGGTATGTAGATGGAATCAGCTTGACTTTGGTTAAGTGCACCTGTAACTCCGTATTATTTCTTTTCTCCAGTATTGGAAAGAAAAATCACCTAAAGCACTTCACAGTGAGTCTCAGGCTCCTATTGCTCATTCTCGGTGTGAGAAGGCACGTTTTGTCCCTGGGGAGCAGACTCCTCTGAGAGGGGAGAGGTGCCCTGTGGGTAGTCAGTTGCTATGGCCATAGTCCATGTCACCGAGCCCTTTCCCCAGGGAACGAAGACACCATCCTGCTTGGGGCCGACTGAGCAGTGCCAAAGCACATGCACTTTGCGGAAATTAAAACACTAATGCACACTGTGTTTCTTCCTTCACCTGTCCTTGCAAATATTCAGGTCACGCTCGTCCATGCCTGTCATCAGAAATGCACAGCTGGCTTGAGAGCAATGTTTTGCCCCAAGAAGTGGCTCTCTGCTTCTGTGTTTTCACCACTGTCTTCCTGTGCCTGACCTTGAGCCCACTCTTGGCCTTTCTGTGTGTGGCTGGCCTCATGGCCTTCTTTATAAAAACATCGTAGGTTTCAACTCAGTAACATCTGTGAAATTACAGCTCCCATCCCAGGAAGGGGTGCTGCATGAATTCGTAGTGTTTAAGTATTCTCTAGTTGTTTCCCTACATTCGTATCAGGATCATCATTAACAGGATGTGGCAGAAGGGAGAGAGCCTTCTTTGTGGCTTCGTTTCCTTGCCCCAGGGTTCTTAATGAAAAGCAAGCACAACACATTTTCTGCCAGGATGAAAGAGGAAATTCCTCTGTTACTCGATTGGCGTAGGGCACCCTGAAATTAGATTGAAGGGCTGATCCTGAATTATGAAAGCCAAACAGTTTTGAACAGGAAGGGTTCTCTTCACAGCACTTTGCTGTTGCATGACCCCTGAGTGACCCAGCTCTAAGCGTTTGCATTGTGAATCGGACTCTTGTTACAAGTCCCAAAGCATGCATCCGCCGGGGCATGGACCCAGCCAGGAATCAGAGCAGAGCTAACACCACCTCCTCATGGGTGATGGGGCACATCACTAGCCTCACAGCCTTAATTCTTTACATCTACAAACATGGAGCCATGTCTGCCTGCTCACTTTACCAGTTTGCTGGGAAGAGAAAATGACAGGATTCATACTACTAATACCAACAAGTTCTTGCAAGGTGCCCACGTGCTAAGTGCTGCTCTAAAAGCTGTGCAAATGTTAACACATTGAATCCTGCAAAACAACCCCACAGGTAGATGTTGTTATTCTCCCATTTTACAGAAGGGGGAAGTGAGGCATAGAGAGGTTACGTGATTTGCCAGCCAGTGAACAGAATTAGGACTTGAAATAGGGCAATCTGAGTGGTCTGCACAATTTACCATTATGCAGGGTTGCCTCTCATGTGGTAATGCTCTGTTAAAACAGAGATGAAAAATAAATGTCCACGACAGGAGGGCCTTATACTTTTAATTACCAAGGAATAGAACGCCTGGGCATAAAGCTAATAATAACTCTTGCCATTATTCAGTAATAAAGAGAGGGCTAGATTCTACAGACATGTTCCTAGTTCCTAGTTATAAAGGCTTATTCTCAAATACAGTATACATATGTCAACAACAGACAACATTGTTGTTGACATATGTCAACTGACAGATACAGTTTTCACCAGCCAATTTTAAGGGTCTGTTTGCAATTAATTTTTTTCCCCTAGTCATTTTCCCTCTGATTATTTATTTGGGGCCTGAAGTATGATCCATAGAAAAAAAAGCTGCTTAGGGGGATATATGGGGAACCAGAATCTTCACTCTTCATTTCATTAGTGCACATGCTCTCTGTGGGAAGGAGAAGTAAAGAGGGAGAGGATAAAGCTGGACTGGTGGGAGGAGACAGTGCGTGTTTACAGGAGCATGACCAGCATGGAAGCAAGGAGTGCGGGAATACTTTTGTCTGAGCACAGGTGGCTGTGGTGGGATGTGCGGGAGAAGATGCGAGTGTGTTGAGGTGGGTGTTATAGGTGGTGGCAGTGGCGCTTGGGAGCTGGAGAACAAGTGATTCATAAATGCCACGAAAGTTTAGAAATAGTAATTTAGCCCAACAAGAGGAGATAGGGGGAGTTAAAAGGAGAAGCAGCGTTCATCTGGACCTGAGAAGACCAGAACCACAAGCCTAGATTAGCTGTGTGGGTTGAGAGGGACAGAGTGGAGCTCTGTAGTATAACAGCTGTGGCACCTTTCTTGGGAGGATTGTGATTGATTCACCCACCCACCATGACTCACCTTTCCCATCTGTTCAGTCAGAAAACAATGTCTACCATATCTTTTCTCATTGAAGTGTTTAGGTTTTGTTGTTAATCTTCACCCGAGTATATTTTTTGCATTGACTTTTAGAGAGAGTGGAAGGGAAAGGGTAGAGGGAGAGAGAGAAACATCAATGTGAGCAAGACACATTTATTGGTTACCTCCCACATGCGCCCCAACTTGGGCGTGAATCGAACCCTTGACCCTTCAGTGCATGAGCCTATGCTCTAACCAGTGAGCATACTGGCTAGAGCTCATTGGTGTGGTTTTAATTTTCTGAGTTTTGTTTTTTAAAATATATATTTTATTTTATTTTTATATTTTTTAATTGATTTTTTACAGAGAGGAAAAGAGAAGGATAGAGAGTTAGAAACATCCATAAGAGAGAATCATCAGCTGCCTCTTGCACACCCCCTACTGGGGATGTACCCGCAACCAAGGTACATGCCCTTGACCTGAATTGAACCCGAGACCTTTCAGTCCGCAGGCCGACGCTCTATCCACTGAGCCAAACCGGTTTCGGCTAATTCTCTGAGTTTTTAGGAAGAGAGACCATGGTCTCATGGTTCATATATCTTCAGGAACCACGGGAGTCATCTTAGATGCACTGATAAAAGGTCACTTTGTAATAACTGCTCGTGCATTTTCACGTTCTTAAGTCAATTCCAAGATGGGAGCATGCTGTCAGGCCTTCTGGGAGCTGGATGGTGCTCTGAAGAACAGAGGGTCCAAACACAGTGACTCAGGCTCAGAACAGACCTCGCCCACTCTGGTGGGCGCTGATCATCTTTATTTAATTAGGCTGAGCAGAAACCATCCAAATTTGCCCACATCTGAGATCCTTTCTTTCATTTTAAAGGCCATTTTTGACTAACGCTGAATTACTGTTTGAATTTGAATCAGCCTCAAGTTTGGTTCTTCCTACAATTTAGGTTTAATTTACTCTTAATTTGGTTAGGAAACTTAAGGAAGGCCATTAGGTATATATTGGCACAATGTTAGGAAAAAGAATGAAGCGATGGAATATATATTGTATTTTCCAGTTTGGGTGTCCCATTGAGATTAAGATGTCTGTCAGCAATGCTCTCTGTAAGTGGGGGGTTCTGGGTTTTCAGAGGCATATACTGCTGATCAGTGGTGTGTGAGTGCGCCTGGAAGGTTGGCAATGTAGAGTGTCTGCTGCATGTACCCCCAAGGCTTTGGTAAAGCTGAGGCCGGCTTCCCATTTGATCAGTTAGCTTTGCCTTTCAAGATATGAACTGCACTTGTACTTCTTCACTAGGCAAAGTAGTATTTAATATTTAAACATCTGTGACAGCAGAATCTCAGCAATGTGTAAGTCCTATTCATAAATCCCTTGTTTCTTGAAAAAAAATTGTAATTGTGTTTCTGCTTGGTACCCATAAGACTCATCTTTTGAAATGACAGTTTCCTTGAATGACAATTTCTTTTTGCAAAGTTATCTCAGTCCATCATTGAGTTTTGATATTTTACTTATTTATTTTTATTTTTTTACATTCAACTTTTATTTATAATAGTGAAAAATGAAAAGACAGCTTAAATGCTCAAATAGAAGAACTGGTGTGCCAGAGATAATTTATCCAAATAATGATATTATGCAGCTATTAAGGCTTTTTTAAAAATAAGAAAACAAGGAATAAAATGAGAATCGGATACAGAAACTAGGGAAGAACTCCTTGAAGATTTTTTTTTTTATGTCTTGTTCTTGTCAGATTTATTGAAGTATAAATTGCATACATAAAGTTTTTTGATGATTTAGAATAAGTTTTCTCTCTTGGAGAAAAAAGTATGATTGATGATCAACTTAGGAATAATTTTACATCTTGAATTCATCAAAGGGAAATGAATGAAGTCCTTTGAGAGGTCTGAAGGACTCTATCAGTGGCATGGATGTATAGAGCCTCCAGTGTCATATCTGAATTATAATTCAAATTATGGCAGTTATGAAAAGAGCGATACAGCTGGGAAGAGTATATACAGAGGCCAGCTTGCATTTGGAATCCTTCTCTGTTTTCTCTCAGGCTTCTTCCATCGGGACTTAAAGCCTGAGAATCTGCTCTGCATGGGACCAGATCTGGTGAAAATCGCAGACTTTGGATTGGCCCGGGAAATCCGATCCAGACCTCCCTACACAGATTACGTATCTACCAGATGGTGAATGCCATTTTCTTCAAAAGTATTTGTTTACATTTCTTTAAAAATATGTCATCATACTGAGGGTGCTATTCATGTCCCAAACATCAACTTTTCACTAGGACAAACAGTGCAGTTTAAAACATATGGGTAAATATGTTGGCATTGTGCAAGGGTTAAAAGCTTGTGCTGTAAATAATTTTTAAAGTAAGTCCATTATGCTTCTCCATAATATGAATCATATTTTATAGACCTTCTTAAAGACCATTTACAAAAGAGTTATGTAAAACATTCTCCAAAGACCTATCTGAATAACTGCTATCATTAAAACTTCCAGACCCTAAGAATTTGCTTTAAGTAGTTGGCCATGAGCAAGAAGTAGCCTACAGACAATGTTTTACATTCTCTCCCCTCCCCTCCCTTCTCCATTTCTCCCCTTCTCTCCCCTTCCTCCCTTCTCTTTCCCTTCCCTTCCCTTCTCTCTCTCTTCCTCGCTTTTATTCTCACTCTGCATTTCCCAAAGAGGCTGCAGAGAGGAGTCCTGTAATGACATGCACAATAGAAATGACCCTAAGGCATTGCTCTCTACAGCAGCCACATCAGCTGCTAATCTCCACGCCTGCATGTACCACCCTGAGCCACACAGATAACGGGAATGTGTAAGCCCTCTCACTGCTCGATGATGTACTACTTAACTTGCTCCAACCAGTGGAGGCAGTAACAGGCAGTGCCCCTTTGTCCCTCCAGGTACAGGGCCCCCGAAGTGCTCCTGAGGTCCACCAACTACAGCTCCCCCATTGACATCTGGGCCGTGGGCTGCATCATGGCCGAGGTGTACACCCTCAGGCCACTCTTCCCTGGGGCCAGTGAGATCGACACAATCTTCAAAATTTGCCAAGTCCTGGGGACCCCAAAAAAGGTAAGCCGGCTCCCCAGGCTCCTTGGCCTCCGCTGAGCCATGACTATCTGCTCCTTCTGGAATCTTTCTTTTGGCCTCAGCAATCTTCCATACACGCCCATGCCCTCAGACACGCCCACCTCTCAAACCTGGCCCTGGCTCCCTCCTTCTACTTTCTCTTTTTATTCATTTCAATTTTTAAATTATTTTAACAAATAATTCTTTATTGTTTAACATATTACATATGTCTCCTTTTCCCCCTTATTGACCCCCCCCCACCACGTCACCCCCGCCCCAGGACCTCACCGCCCCATTGTCTGTATCCATGGGCCATGCATAAATGCATACTAGTATAAGGTCCTTGGTTGATAACTTTCTACCCACACACCCGCCCCTGCCTTCCCTCTGAGATTCCATTTTTATTGATTTCAGAGAGAAAGGGAGGGAGAGAGAGAGAGAAACATCAATGATGAAAGAGAATCATTAATCAGCTGCCTCCTGCATACCCCCTACTGGGGCTGGAGCCCACAACCCCAGCATATACCCTTGACCAGAATCAGACCTCTCAATCTGCAGGCCAATGCTCTATACACTGAGCCAAACTAGCTAGTGCCTTCCTTCTGCTCTTAAGTAGAAGACATTTGTCCTGTCTCCCTCTCCTCTCCTCTCCAGGGCACCGCACCTCCCTTGTAGCCTTTCTCTGTTCTCATGGCCAAGCACTTAGGAGCTACTCAAGGCAATCTGTAGCCCTCACCTCCCTTTGTAACTCCATTCACATAGTTACATCTCTCTGTGAGAGGTCTCCTGACACCCTCCCCATCACCTCGGACTCAACACATCTGACAGTTTGCTTTTTATTTTTTATTTATTTATTTACTTTTTAAAATATATTTTATTGATTTTTTAACAGAGAGGAAGGGAGAGCTAGAAACATTGATGAGAGAGAAACATCAACCAGCTGCCTCCTGCACACACCCCCACCGGGGATGTGCCTGCATCCAAGGTACATGCCCTTGACCGGAATCAAACCCGATACCCTTGAGTCCACAGGCCGACGCTCTATCCACTGAGCCAAACCGGTTTGGGCCAGTTTGCTTTTTTAAACTTCTTCCAAAGAACACAAACATACTGCAATTTTTTCTTTCCATTTTTGTGTAGATTTAAGGTGCACCAGATTGTTTTTTATTTACCCCCACTTGCTTCTTTCTTTCATTCTCCATTTTTGTCTGGGGTCCCATCATAGTCCCAGAGCCCCAGCCTTGGGGCTTTGTGTCCATTTTACTCTCTCTCTTTCCCTTATTCCCCATCCCCTCACCTAAGCAGTGGGTCCTTACATCCTGTTGACTGTTGCTGCACAGTCTCAGGCAGCTCTCATCCTTGGAGTCCACTGGCCCCATTACAGACTGGGCCATGCTCGCCATCCCTGAATGAGGGTATCAATCGTTCTGCCTTTAGGTCTTTTTCCCTCCAGTTAATCTTTCAGTCTGCAGCCAGTTCACCTTCTTGAAGAACAGCTCTGGTACTGGCGTCTGCTCCTAAAAATATTTGCTGCTGGCTCCTATCACCTTAACTATCATTCTCTTTCCCCACCTCATACCTGTACTCCCACACCATGCACCCTGGAACCTCCGCACTATCATGCTCTGCATATGCACACTCTGCCCAACTGAGGTGTCGCCCGTGACCCCATCCGCTGTTTTTCCAAGTCCCCGCAATCTTTCTCCTCACTGTTTCTCCTCTCCGCCTTCCACTGTGGTCTGTGTTATTATTATAATCATCTGTGTCTATATCTGTTTCCTGGGCATTACACTCATCCAGGTCAAGGATTTATCTTGTGTTTATTTGTGTTTCTTTCTTTCTTTTTAAAAAAAAATATTTTATTGATTTTTTACAGAGTGGAAGAGAGAGGGATAGAGAGTTAGAAACATTGATGAGAGAGAATCATTGATCAGCTGCCTCTTGAACACCCCCCACCGGGGATGTGCCCACAACCAAGGTACTGGAATCGAACCTGGGACCTTTCAGTCTGCAGGTCGACACTCTCTCCACTAAGCCAACCCGGTTAGGGCTATTTGTGTTTCTTTTTCTGGGTCGTAGCCAGCATCATTGCTGGTACAAATCAGTCCCTCAAAAGAAATGACTACATCATTTGAATGAATCACTGATGGCACCTCTTCAAGGTTTGCAGAGTCTCCTGCCAGAGTCTCTCCTCCTTAGGATAACTGTATCTGTACCTCTCGTGGTCCTCTTTACTTTTTATTCTGTATTACTGCTTTTAAATAAATATCTTATTTTCTCCTGTGGACAGTAATTTCCGTAAGAGCAGCATTTATATCAGATTATTTTTGGATACCCACTGCTATGCTTATCGCAGGCACTCAGTAACTATCTTAGTGAATGAATGACATGAGCAATACATAATGTCACTTTGCTTAAAAAAAAAAAAAAAAAAAGCAAAAAGCAATTACACCAGAATGTGTCTTGGATTAGAAGGAACCTTAAAAATCATTTGTTCATTCTTTCCCATCATGCACTTCAGCATTTAGTCATGGGTATCATGGGTGAAAAAGTGGGGAACTTGAGATTGCGTGGGATTGCTTTCTTTACCCCTGGACTTCATCAAAATGGGGACATGTAGGTTTTGATAAATTTATTTAACTGAAGACAGGTGTTTTGTTTTATTCCCCCACCCCCAAAAAATATCTCACTACGGTAGCAGTTTCTAAATCCTCTGCTCGTGGATCACAATTGGGAAAATACTAATTTGGTTCAACCTCCAAATCTCAAGAGAGGTGCTCTCTTGTGTTAAGGTTATAAAGCAGGTTGGTGGCAAAGCCAGTATCTTTTTCTATGCTTTCTCTGACTTCACATACTTTCTGGTCTCCCCGTTAGAATCCTCCTGTGTGTCAGTCATCATGGTGCCACCAGAATGGATATGAACGTGGTCAAGACATGAATGCCTTTCCGTTGTAGGCACATATGCCAGGATATGCACTCCTGTCACAGAGAGTGGCTGAACAAGATTTTCTATCTTTCCTTTTTTCAGACCGACTGGCCGGAAGGCTACCAACTTTCAAGTGCTATGAACTTCCACTGGCCCCAGTGTGTCCCCAATAACTTGAAGACCCTGATTCCCAATGCTAGCAGCGAAGCAATTCAGCTCCTGAGAGACCTGCTTCAGTGGGATCCCAAGAAACGGCCAACAGCTAGTCAGGTTTTCTTCCATCTTCTTCTGTGTGATGCATTTCTTATGAAGTTCATATCTAACTCTGAATAAGTCCTATAATCTCATAGGAAGTACTTAATTTGGTAAAAAAAAAAAATGGTATAGAATACCACTGTTGGTGTATTTATACTAATAAAAGCGTAATATGCTAATCAGACCAAATGACCTTCCAGATGTCCTTCCAGACAAAGCCTCAGTGGCAGAGACCGAGGCAGAGGTGGTTAGAGACAATCAGACTGGCAGTGGAGCAGTTAGGGTCATCAGGCTGGCAGGCAGAGGAGGTTAGGGGCAATCAGGAAGGCAGGAGCGGTTAGGAGCCAGCGGTCCCGGATTGCGAGAGGGATGTCCGACTGCTGGTTTAGGGCTGACCCCACGGGACATCACTCAAGGGGTCCCGGATTAGAGAGGGTGCAGGCTGGGCTGAGGGACCCTCTCCCCCAAATGAATTTCATGTACCGGGCCTATAGTTATATATAAGAACTTAAAATAGTTTGAAACTTATAAAGTTAAAATAGTCAAGGTTTAAACAACATAGTTGCTTTGGAATGAGGAAATGGGCTTAGAAAAGTGAAGCATTATATTTAAGACATATAGCAAATAATAAGTTACAAAGCTAGGAGCTGTGTTGAGCCAGAACACTTTTCAGAAGTAGCAAAGGTCATAGCAGTGTAACTGGCTGCTTTAGTGAGGTAATTTTATGTTCATACATTCGATAATACTTCAGATAAGAAAAATCACAAGGGGTGTTACAGATTCAAGGTGCTGGCAAGCAGGTTTGTGAGTACAAAAAATACAGATTTATTCTTTTGTATTTATTTATTAATTATTATATTATTTTCCATGCAAACAACTATACACCTACTTTTGCCCCACCCTGTAGTTGGTTTGGGCTAAGAAATTGCAGTAAACTGGTCAGTGGAATGTAGCTCTGTGAGTTGATGGTGCTAACCTGCCCACTAGGCTTTTCTCCTGAAGCAGCCATATGTGTCGTTCCAGGCGCTCCGATATCCTTACTTCCACATTAGGCATCCCCTGGGCAGCACCATACAGAGCCTTCAGGATTCCGGAAAACCACAGAAGGACATCCTGGAAAAGGCAGGCCTACCGCCTCACATGAAGCCAGTCCCTCCTGCTCAGCCCCCGACCAAGCCACACACAAAGATTTCTTCGAGACAGCATCAAGCCAGCCAGCCCCCTCAGCATCTCATGTACCCCTACAAAGCAGAGGCGCCCAGGACAGATCACCCGAGCCACTTGCCGGAGGACAAGCCAAACCCCTTACTCTTCCCATCCCTCCACGTCAAGAATCCTCCAGCGGTAAGTGGCAAAATTCGCTAGTGAGCCCCCTGTCTGGTCTGTTGTTCTTCTACTAGTACCACACTTACTGTGTGGCCTGTTTTTCTTTTCAGCATATATATTAGATTAGAGTCTAACTGTAATGAACTTATCTTTGTAATATCTTGGATATGTGAAAAGAGCTTTGGCCATAGCGTTAAAGGGCCAAGTTCAAATTCTGGCTCTGCCTGATAATCATGGCGCTGTGGTGGGTGAGCGCTGGACACTGCCACCAGATTGCCAAGGTCTCAAGTCCTGTCTCTCCTATTTCACAGCTCGATGGCCCTGTGCACATGACCCAGGCTCTCTGCTCCTCATTTCCTCTCTGTAAATAGAAATAATAACACCTGCCTGACAGAATTCTTTTGAACACTAAATGAGTTGATGCTTGAAAGAATTTAAACTAATACCTGGCACTTAAGAAGAACTTAATAAATATTAGTTATTGATGCTGATCCCTGTGGACTCAGTTTCCTCATCTGTAACAGAAAATCATTACATCTGTCTTGCCCATCGGACAAGGCTGTTCATGAGGATCAAAGTTCCTGATGCTTGTACACCTGTTTTTTGTTTTGTTTTGGGTTTTTAAAAAATGTATTTTTATTGATTTCAGAGAGGAAGGGAGAAGGAGAGAGAGATAAAAACATCAATGATGAGAGGGAATCATTGATCAGCTGCCTCCTGCATACCCCACACTGGGGATTGAGCCCAAAACCCGGTCATGTGCCCTGATCGGGAATCGAATCATGACCTCCTGGTTAATAGGTCAATGCTAAACCATTGAGCCAAGCTGGATGGACTGGGCAGGTGTTTTGAAAGTCACCAAGTGCCATACGAATATTTTTAGGTTGTTATTCCCATGAATCCCACCAATGGCTCTGGGCTGTTAATTGAGCCCAGATCTTTCTTCTTCTCTTGGGCTGGGGGTCAAAAGGAATCAACGGGTGTTAGATTTAATCAAATGATAACACCATATTCTTACATCTTTATTTATAACACTGTAAATCACGTTAACTGTTCGAGACGAGGCCTGAATGAGAATCCAGCCGTCTTTTTACTATGGGAGAAGTTCCTTAAATTTCTTTTTTTAAAGTCCTTTTCCTATATGACTCGTGTCTCCATAAGATGAACACCGATGTCATCAGTGAAAGGTAGACGAGAGACAAGGGTCTGGGTATGCGCCGCCTCGGTTGCCCTTTCCGATGAGCAGTGCATATTAGGGAATGCTATGCCCCAGGATCCTCCTTTTTATGACCAAGAAAGTTTGGAATGAAGAATATCCCTGGGTGAGCTCTATTAATGCCAAGTATCGCTTTCCCCCCCTCTCTCCTTGTGAACACAGAAAATCCTCGCTGGGCTGGAGCACAAGAACGGTGAGATCAAGCCAAAGAGTAGGAGAAGGTGGGGTCTTGTTTCCGGGTCGACAAAGGATTCCGATGACTGGGCTGACTTGGATGACTTGGAGTTCAGTCCATCCCTCACCAGGATTGACCTGAAAAACAAGAAGAGACAGAGTGACGAGACTCTCTGCAGGCAAGTGTGCGCTTCTGTCTGTGGACGGACGGGATCTGGGATTTGGGAGGGCCCTTTACCCACCTGACGATGCTTCCTCTCGAGCATGACCTGAGCCATGTTCTCTCGATTCAGATTTGAGAGTGTTTTGGACCTGAAGCCCTCTGAGCCCATGGGGACAGGAAACAGTGCCCCCACTCAGACTTCGTATCAGAGGCGAGACACGCCGACCCTGAGATCCTCGGCCAAGCAGCACTACTTGAAGCACTCCCGATACCTGCCGGGTAATAGAAGCAATTCCCTTTTCTCTGACCATCGATAAAGAAACCATTTCCCTGGAATCCCATGTTCACAGAGATTCTGTTTTGGAGGGCACTTGGGGCTTCTCTTCAGAACTGGTGGGAACATTGTAAAAATATTTGCTGGAGCTCAGGCCTCATATTTTTAGTTTTTATAGTTGCCTAAGATAAGAAATTTGGTAGCAGATACTGGGCCCAGCCCCCAGGGAGGGGGGAGGAACTGGTAAGAGCCAGGCAGCATGCCTGAGATCTCTCTTCTCCCCCACATCCCACCTCCTCGAAACATGCAGTAGCCTGCCACAAGTGGGGTTGAAAACATCTAGAGGGAAAGTGGTTTGGCTTGAGGTTAAGGTCAAGGCAACCTTGGACATTAGAGAGTCGGTAAGGGCTGTTGGTATACACTGGAGCCATCAGCATGGGATGGTGAAGTGGTCTAGGTCAGGTAAGAAGATGGAACTTGAGAGACAGAGGCAGAAAGAGGAGGAAGAGCTACAGAGGTTGGGACTTTGGAGGGGGGTGGAGAGGAACTTAGATGACAGAAAGGCGGTGGTCTGTGAAGGGGACAAGTAGGAATGTCCAGGAGCACTAAAGCCCAGGACAGCACCAGAGGGCATCAAAACATAGGCCATGGGACAGAGCGGTTGGTAGGCTATGGGACACTTCTCTCAGGCCATGTGCCAGGGAGGCAACATACTCAACCCAAAGACAGCATCTTTCGTTTTCACAGTCAATTTTTGCTTAGATTTTTGAGCCATAGAAACTTTCAGACAAGCTGAGTTCTGCATTAGTTTTATCTCTGAAGTCTGGTGCATATTTTGCCTTTAAAACACATTTCTTCCCTATTAGGCATAAATATAAGGAATGGCATCCTCCCGACTCCGGGCAAGGACTACATTCCATCAAACCCGTGGTCTAGTTCCGGTTTGTCAGGGAAGTCTTCAGGGACAGTGTCGGTAATCAGCAAGATAAATTCAGGTGAGTAATAGTTATTGACTCCTAAATGCGAGAAGCAAATTCTCTGGGTGTGGCAGAGTGGGAACAGAGACGAGGGTACCCACTGTGGGACCACGGGGCCTTTCTGCTACACCATCCCTGGGCCTCTTTTCTGGCCTGTGCTCCTCTCTCTCAGCAGCAGGCCCTGGGGACTCAGCCTGCTCCACGGCTCTACCTCCAGGAGTATCTGGTGAGAAAAGCATAGTTGTTCTTGGCTCCTGGGAAAAACAGTAAAAAACTTGACAGAGTCTGACCCTCTATGGTGCATGACCTCAGAAGTCAGCTCCAGCTTGTCCCCTCTGCTTGATTACCCAGCCCCTGCCAGGCCATCGAGACTTCCTGTTGAAGGACAGTTTGGGAGGCCCATCCACTCTTTGTAAATAAGAAAATGACTTTTCCTAAGCTGTGCAGGCTGACTAACCCTGTTCCCAGCCGGCCAGTTTCCCACATGGCGGTCCATCACACGGCAGCCCTGCTCTGTGCTGCTTCCCCTCCTCATTCCAAGGAAACATCTGGGCTTCACTTCTCCTGCCTTTATCCATTACATGGGCATTTATTTCAAGGAATACAAATAATATACATACCCGCTGCGGGCTTACAAAGTCAAACTTGGCTAATAGGTGATAAGCCCATGTCTAGGCCTTTCCTCCCTCTCCCTCTGTCTCTCCCTTTCCTACACCTGCCTGATTTGGGTATTTACTATTTCTATGCTTTTAAACATATCTATACATGGAACACATAGTATGCTTTTGCGTGTTTTAAAATTCATATGCCCATCATCCTGGATCTCCAGTTCACTCATTTTAATAATTATATTATGTACGTGGCAATTACACATATATAGAATGTATGTTATATATCATATATCATATATAATATATATAACCATACAATACCATCATTTATTACTTCTACTAGACCATATTTACTTATCCCTTCTCTTCTTGATGAACATGTGAGTTGTGTATGGTTTTTGCTGTTAGAAAGTGTGCTGAATTGGGCCTTGCTGTGCACCTGTGTGGAGTTTCTCTGGGTGTGCCGTGAACATGCAAGGTTAAAGGGTGTGCTCATTTTCGACTTTGCAGATATTTCCAGATTGCTCTCCAGCAGGGTGTGGGAGTTGTGCTGCATCCTTAATGCCACTTGGTACTGTCTGGACTAAAATTTGTGCTAATGTGATGGGTGTGAAATAGCATTTATTGTGGCTTACATTTGCATGTCCTGTTCAATAATGAGGTTGAGCATCTTGCATTTATTGTCTACATTTTTTCCCTTTTGTGACTATCCAAGTTCTCTTCTCCTTTTTCTTCATATCTGTCTATTCACCAAAAATGCAAAATCTGCTCCAGCTGACCAACACAGCTCCTCAGACAGGCATTCCGACCATGGTTCCTGCCCTGCTCCGAGCAAGGATGCTCTGTGTTGGGAAGACATAGAGCAGTTCTACTACCCAGAAACTCTTTCCTTAATGGCTAGGACTTCCTTTGTACAACGGCCATAATAACATTCTTCATCGTTCCATATATAGGTTTATGCCTTCATAGTAAGACTTATAGATATTCATTCCCCCATCCAATATATATTGATTACTTGCTATATGTCGGGCATTCCACTAACATCCTAGAATACTAAGATGAGTAGCTATAGTTTTGGCCCTTAAAGCATTCTAAAGTTGGAAATGGCATCATATGTGAATGTATTTAATATATTTTAATAATGGTTAATTGTTCTGATTACAGACAAGAATACTTAATATAGAACTACTTATAATAGCTAAATAATTAACATAACCCATCTATTGATGAATAAAAGAGTAGTCAAATGTATTATGGTTTAGCCGAATTGTAGAATTTGCATATACTGACATGCAATGATAATTGTTTTATATTATTATGCAGTGGAAAAAGCTGTTTCAGAACAGGCCAAACTGATTATACTAAGAAAAAGAAAATTCCAAATTTCCCTTTTCTCATACAAACCAACCATCCTCCATTTGGGGGTGGGCTACAGGAGCATAACCTCCCCTTAACCCCACCTTTCTGACAGTGTGGTGTGCTGGAATGCTCTGATCAGAATATGTTTTTATCATAATTCTTCCCCCTCCAAAAATAAAAACCTAATTCTTTATTGTTCTGTACTACTTCCCTTTAACCCTGTCATGTACACATGACTTTGTATTAATGAACTTTTGTTTTGCAAATCAGTTGGTTCCGGCTCTACAAGTTCTAGTGGACTGACTGGAAACTATATCCCTTCCTTTCTGAAAAAAGAAGTTGGTTCTGCTGTGCAGAGGGTACACTTGGCACCTATTCCAGACCCTTCCCCCGGTAAGTTCCATTGTCGATTATTCATGAATTGATTCAACAAATAGTTATTGAACAATGGCTTTGTCACTGCAGACATGGACAGGCATGTTGTAGGTCTAAGATCCCAAGTGAAGGAGACAGACAGAACTCCCTGTTCTTGTGGACTTATACTCTATAGACAATAAGAGGACCAGATAAGATGCTTGTAACTTTTGAGGAGAAAATAGAGCAGGCAGAAAGAAGAGAATGTGGAAGTTGGAGGGTGGGGTGCAGATTGCAATTTTAGATAGGGTAACCAAACAAGACCTCATTGCAAAGGAGGTATGAAGGAGGTGAGTGAGCAAGCGGGCAAAATAGTTGAGACTGTTTCACATATGGGATTCTGAGGTGTGTGGGCTTTTTAAAAAATATGTATTTTTTAAATTGATTTCAGAGAGGAAGGGAGAGGGAGAGAGAAACATCAATGATGAGACTCATTGATTGTCTGCCTCCTACAAGTCCCACACTGAGGATCTAGCCTGCAACCTGGGCATGTGCCCTGACCAGGAATCAAACTGTGACCTTCTTGTTTATAGGTTGACGCTCAACCATTGAGCCACACTGGTTTGGCACAGGTGTGTGGACAGGACAGGACAGGACAGGCCTTGAGACAGGACAGGCCTTGGCATATTCAGTGAATACCAAGGAGACAGAGTACAGGGTGGCATGAGTGAGAGAAGGGAGGAGGAAGAGGAGAGGGGGTCAGAGAGGTGAGAAGACACCCCATGCTATGAGGCCCTGCAGCTACCATGTGCATTTTGTCATGGGAGCCACTGAAAGATTCTGAGCAGAGGAGTGAGGTGATTTGACATGCATCTTTCACGCTCACTTAAAAGCTAGCTGTCACTAGACTGAACGGGAAGAGCACGATTGGAGGCAGCAACACTGATTGGCAGGCAAGGGATGGTGCTGGCCCGAGCTGGGGTGCTAGTGGTTGAGTTGGGCCAGATTCTGGGTATATTTGGAAGGTAGAGCCAGTAGGATTTGCTGACAAATTACAGGTGGAATTTGAGAGGAAGAAAGGAGTCCGGATTGACATATGTATTTTTGGCCTGGCGCTATAAAATTAGGTTGTCTTTAATGGAGGGAGGGAAGACTATGAGTAGGAGGCAAAGTGCTCCTCTTGAATTCTCCTTTTCTCATAATTTTTGTTACTGAGATGCATTTATCTACACCTATTTGCATGGGTGCTCTACCTACCAGGCTCACCGTCCTCTTTCACTGCAGGTTATTCTTCCTTGAAGGCTGTGAGACCTCACCCTGGACGGCCTTTCTTCCACACCCAGCCGAGGAGCACTCCCGGGCTGATCCCACGGCCTCCGGCTGCCCAGCCCGTGCACGGCCGGACCGACTGGGCTTCCAAGTATGCCTCTCGGCGATGACAGTTGGAATCCCTTCCGTAGGGGAAAGACGGACCCTGTCCCTCCGCCAACTGGTGTTCTCCCTGCAGGAAACTTTCGGATGGTGTAAAAGCAAACACACACTTTGTAGTCGTTCTTCTGAACTGAGACATTTCAATATTCTTTTTTAAAGTTTTTTTTCTTAAATATTGATTTGTACAAAATTATTTTATTCTAATACTGGGTCCCATTATTTTCTTAAACAGCAGCATTTTGTACATACGGATTATGTTTTAGTGTTTTATACAGTCAACTTTGTAACAAACTTTTTAAAGATTAATTGATTTTCTTTTGGGGTTCCAGATAATATTTTATACAGATTTTTAAAAAAACGTAATAATATTGATGCAGTATTGCAACAGGGGTGCAATGTAGAGCTACATGACAGAGGGTTATTTACTCAGCGCGTGCAGATTATTTGTGAAGTGGTTACACATTTTAAATGTGGCACACGGGGTACCTCGGGCTTCCTTGGAAAAATGGTCTTTTGCTTTTCCATGTCACATTACTGGTTTGATTTTTTGAGACCGCTGTGACATTTTGAAAGTACTGTTATGTAATTAATTCATTTGGTTTGGCGTTTGTTCCCCACCTGAAAGAACTCCTAAGTAAATATTTCTTGAAATTTTTACAACACCCTTTATTGTGGTTGGAGATTTGAATCCAGGCTCTATCGTGCTATGCCATTCCCTTCTATTTCTTCCATTTTAAAAATCAAATTCTATAAGTACCACAAAAGGGAAGCTTTTGTAACCACAAGATTCTCAACATACAGATGAATACAGTCAATTAAACTGAGATCCCTGCCAAGATGCATGACCAAGAAGCTAAGTTTTGACACAGCAGATTTTTTTATGATAATAACTGAGAGGATGCTGCATTCAGCTCAGTTCCCCAGGCCTGGCTGGGAACACACAACAAACAATCTCCTCTCCTAGCCAAAATCTCAGGGCACCTTGGGGACCAGAAAAGATTGACGGCAGAGGAAGCCACAGTTACCATGACGCTATTGTCACAGTGTGCCACATTTGAACTTTGAACTCTTAACCCTTGTGTAGTTTCTTCCAACAGTGAGAACTCTATTGGTTGGCAGTGGCTGTTCCACTGAGAGGAATGTTTACAGCAATTTTGAAAATGACAAAGCTAGTTTGGAGACAGAAAAAGACAAGAGGTCCACTCTCCTCCATCTCTGTAGGACGCATTTGCCTCCACTCGTGGTTGCCTGGCAGGCAAGAGGGAAGGTCACCTCCAGAGAATGCAGTATAATTTCAATAGTGTACGGACTCATTCTCCCAGGGCTCAAGTACTCTCGTGTGGTTCCAGGTTCCAGGATATAGCAAGCTGAACCATATGAAATTGTCATTTTTGTAGTCATTTTGAAATGAATATTGGCACTTTGATATGGCTCAGCCTAATAAGGCAGGAAATTGCCACTTTAGTGTGTTAATACTGTGTTGCAGCCTGACCTGAACCAATTATCCCGTGGCTCCCAAAGAGCGCTCACCTGAAGTTGGGAGTAATTTCTACTTTGGAGAATCTGGCTCAAAAACATACTTGATCCTAGGGCCGGGAGAAAAGCACCTAATGGACGTGGACTTACTAGGTAATATTTTCCTGTTAACAAACTGGCGGCAGAGCTTCAGAAAATAAATATGTATGTGTAAGCACAACTTGAACCTGAATTCATTTCTGTATTATATCCTCAACTCATGATCGAAAGCAACAGAAAATGTGTTTTCAGAGACGAGTCCTTTGCTGAGGTTAATATTTATTTCCCTTTCTGTATTATGTATACAGAGTAAGTTAATCTGTAACCTCCCTCAGCTTGCTGGAAAGCTGGGTTTAAATTGTAAATACCCTGTAGAGGAGCAAATGGATTGTGAATACCATATTCTTGAAACTAGCTTATGCTAAGGTCATTACATTTTTTTTTATTGAAAAACTAGTAACCTGGTTAATACACATTATAAAGTGGTTTTTCTAACATTTCTGTAGGGCCCTAGCTGGTTTGGCTCAGTGGATAGAGCCTTGGAGTGAAGGGTCCTGAGTTCCATTTCTATCAAGGGCATGTACCTCGGTTACAGGCTCAATCCCCCGTGTGAGAGACAACCAATCGATGTGTGTCTCTCTCTGTCTCTCCCCTTCCACTCTCTCTAAAAATCAATAGAAAAATATCCTCATGTGAGGATTATTAAAAATTTAAAAAGATAATATTTTTGTAGGGTCCACATTCAGGAAATATTTCCCTTTTCTTCCTTTTCATTTATCTGAAAACAACTTCCTTTGGGAAGCTAAACCATATGAAAGTCAAGAAACTATGTTCAGTTGAGAAAACTAGAAAACTGAAAAAACTGTAAACTCTAAAGAACTAACAAATTTCTATAAAGTACTCCCCCTTGCCCTAATGTGGGTAAAGGACAAATTGTGTATACAAGCTGTTTACGATAGAAGGAAATAGTGACTTTTTTTAGTGAAAATAAATGCTACCCATTGCATGTATTTTTCACTTACGATTGAATTGTAAAGTGTACTGCAAGACACCAAGAGGCACGCCGAGTTTAACTGTACCCTCCATGACTATACCTCGTTTCCAGTGAGAATGCTTTCCAGGACATCGGGCAGCAGTACAGGGATGGCTCTCATTTGGGGCCCAAAGGTTCAGTGACAGGTGTGCCAAGGGGTCCACATGTGAACTGCCTGGGCACAGACATTACCTGGTGTGATTGTTCATTTCATAGAAAAATCTCATTCATTGCTAAGCCCTCCCCCAGCTCATGTATGATAGGGTTTAAATAGGAAGAAAATAGGTTTTCAAACAAATTTTAAGACACATTTCACCGAAAGGACTAACTAATGTAGGTAATATCTATGTCATCTTCTGGGCTTCTCAAAGACTGAGTGCAATCAAGGCAACACATGTAAAAGCCAATTCTTGTCAAGAATGGTCAAGATTTTGTCAAGAATTTCTGTTTTCCAGTACAAATCTCAGTACTGCTGGAGTTCATGGGCACCGTATTTCCTCATGAAGTAGCATTTCCCTTCCGTCAAGCCATTGTTTGTGCCATTTAGGAGAGAAAAAGGAAGTAGGCTGTATGTTTCAGCTCAGTATATGACCAAAAGCAATATACGTGACTTACTAATTATATATCATTTAAAGCATACTGTAGCAACTTGTTTGTTTAATATATGTGGTTAATTTCTAGAATTATTTTTACATTTTCAACCAAAGTACTGTATTTTGTATAATTTATTGCGAGGACCTTCTCACAGAAACCCTTAAGGAGACAGACTGGGGGCAGATATCACATTCATCTGTATTATTGGTTTCTTATAGACACTGTGCTAATGTGAATTTAAAATGACCTGAGTAAGTAAATAGTCTTCTGATCTCAGATATCTGGTCACTGGCAGAAATTTTAATCACCTGATTTGATTACAAGGGAGTAATTAAGAATATATTTATTTATAAAGCAAATATTCATAATGATGAGAAGATAAGAGGAAAGAAAACCACTTATGTAATCCCCTCTGAAATAAAAATGTTGCTTTTTGAATAGTTCATCCTAAGGCGTTTTAAAAATGTTAATTTTACATTTATAAAATTCTGCTCCAAATAAAGTTATGGTTTAAGAAAAATTGATTTGAGTATTCTATTTTTGTTTTTCATGTTCTTTCTTTCATCAAAAGATAACATTAATCTTTCCTAACTGGCATCTTGATATTTTATAACCTTTTCTTAATACTTGTACATTGGAAGTGTATACTTAGAGCAGCAGTGTGAAGTTATCCTGCAATGTGGAGGGCTTTTGTTTGTTTGTTTGTTTTGCTTTAGCTTTTAGTAAGTTAGGTGACTAGAGATATTAAAAAACAACAACAATAAAACCACAAGCATAGGCTAAAACTTCTGATTCCATCATGGTTAATACCTGACTTGTATGTTTTTAGCTTTCACAGTGCACTCATGTGTACAATACAAACCTCCAAAAGAAAATCCTAACTATGAATTGTATACAACATTCCACAGGAAATTCATTTCCCAAACCACCTTCAAATCTGCCACGGAGTTTTGTAGGAATGTGATTTACTGATCAGACTTGTGTTGGTGAATCCCTAAACGTGCTCCTCATGTCAGAACACCGCCGACCGACTGTATAATCGTCAGCACTTGTGTAACCTCTAGGCAAGAGTGACCCTTGAGGAGCCATGCAGATTCAAGCTTTCAGCCATTCTTCCTTGGCAAAAACCTCCTGTAGGATTTGGTCTGACTCTAGCCATCTTTAGCTAAATAATTTGATTCCCTCTTCCTGGGTTGTTTACATTTCAAGCTTCTCTCAAACTATGATTTAAAGCTAATTTAATTTAAAATTATTAAGGCAATTTTACATACCACTGAGTAGGTGGGTAAAGGTTTAAAGACAAGATTTCCCAGAGCTTCTGAAAATATATCTGGTTGGTAGGTGGACACCAAGAAGAAAATGATTTCAAGAGCTTCCAAAGAAGAAAATGGCCTAAGGGTACATACTGTAGAATGGCAGAATCATTTTAACAGGACTTTTTATTTCTCCACAAGACTGCAATTAATAGAGTCCAACGATACTGCCTGAGTTCCCTTCATGTAAACAAGATTGCTAAGGATGATGTGACCCCTATTTTATTAGGTTGGAATAGGAACTTGTCATTTTTGTAGGTTAGAAAAAAAATAGTAAAGTATCAGCAATGTCATACAGTTCAACCAATTAGATATAAGGGAATGAAGATACATGAGATTTTAAAAAGTTAAAATAATGCTTGTGCTATCTAGTTCAATTAAAGTGAATCCGTGTAGAAAGGTAGGTTAGAAAAGATGGGTCAAGAATGATCACTTGCTGAGGACAATTATGTGACACCATAATCAATAAAGAAGTTTAAAAAAATCATCACTGGAGAGGGTATAGGAAGATATTTGTAATATCTAACACTAACACACACACATATATATATATATATATATATATATATATATATATATATATTTTTTTTTTTTTTTTTTTTTTTTTAATGAATGACCACTTTCAGCAGGGCTGGAAAATGGGGCTTCGTACCTATGTTTGAGCGAGTCATCTGTGTTAGGTCAGAATTAGAAAGATGAAATTGAACATACTTATATTTGAAAGTGACTTTTCTGACTATTCTCACTTTGCTTTATTTCTTGTTTTACATGCTTCCTCTAGATAAGCTCAGCCTTTTGCTGCCAGTTTGATCTATGCCAGTCCTTCCCCACTGAGTCATCACTGGCTTATATGTATAACTGTCTAGTGGACATTACCAATGGGATGGCTCAAAGGATTGAAAGACAAATCTGCTCATTGTTTCCCCCAACAGGCTTTATGGAGCTAGGAACCAAGGCATCATTCATTCTTTCAGTAAATATTTCCACTCTGTTCAGCATTATTCTAGGAGCAAGATATACAAAAGTATGTTGTTAAAAATTCTTAACTTTGTGGAATTTACATCCTATTAAATCTACAGGCAATAAAATAAAATGTATGATGTATTAGATGACAATAAATGTGATGAAAAATAGGCAAGGAAAGTGGAAAAGGAAATGTGTGTGGTGGGGAGGGGGCGCGGTCAGATTTTGGGAAATCTAATCGCGGTTAGATTTTTTTTTTTTCCTCTTTCTCCCTTCTCCATCTCATCCTTCACCTTACACTCGCACTGTCCCAATTTATTCTTCACACTTCTCTCAGGTAAACAAACCTACCACAGGTTTTCAAGGCAATAATAAAAAACATCTACAAACGACAAAAATTAAGTTTGTGAAACAGCAGTAGTAATGTATCTTTAACTTGGTACTATAACACCAAGAAAGTTTTTTTAAAAAAAAAAATAATTTTTTTGATTTCAACTAGAAAAGAAAGGCAGACTGCCACGTGCAGCGCCTCATTTGGATGTGTCTGGAGTCTTGGAAGCTTGACTACCCTACGTTCTCCTACAAATGGACCTTGAGAGCTTGTTTGGAGGTTCTAGCAGGGGAGCGCAGCTACTCGTATACCCTTGACCGAAGACCGGTCCTCTCCTCTTGGGGGAAAGTCGTCCTCTTCGACCGAGCGCGCAGCTTCGGGAGGGACGCACATGGATCGGTGAGGGAGGAGGGGGACACCCGCCTAGCCAGCCAGATCAGCCGAATCAACCCTGGCGATCAATGGGGTGACAGATGTCGCAGCCAGATCGCCCTCACATCCGAGAGAAGAAGCCGAGCACGGGCTATATAAACCTGACCAGAATTTTCACTTTACACCTAGGACGAGATTTTTCTTAACCCAGAAGTTCTCTAATAAGAATTCTTCATTAAAGTTCAAATATAAATAACACTTTCAAGCATATTTAATCTCTCAAAATGCTAAAATCCATGTTAAAACTGGCTTGAATTTGGGCAGTTTTGTATTATCCAGAATGCTTTGCAGATGGGTGTGAGCATGCTAAACGTCGCCTTTTCGATTGGTGAAGTCTTCCCGGAGCCTCGCCCACCGGCTAGCGCCTCCTCCCGGCCCGCCGGTCCCGCCCCGCTGCAGGCTGCTCGCAGGGCGCTTTGTGCTGCTCCGGGCGCTGGCAGCGGGTTCCAGGTCTGTGTCCTTCCTGCCGCCCCCACCCCGTCTTCTTTCCCCTTCTCTTTGTTTATTTATCCTCCTCTCTGTTCTCTCGGCTCCTTTCCCCTTCTGATTCCCTCAACCCCCAACCCTCAACCCCCAACCCTCCTTTTGTCTCCCTCCCCCTCCTTGTCCCTCCCGCCCCGCCTTCGCCTGGGTATCTGTGGGCCCCTGGACTGCAGTTGGGGGTCGTCTTTGGCTCAGTGTGCGTATTTATATTTATTTATTTATTTATTATTTATTTATTTATTTATTTATTTATTTATTTATTTTTATTAACTAGCTCTGGGGAGACTGAATGCATTGACAAAGGACAGTTGGCTTGGGTCCTCCGCAGGGCGGGGCGGGGTGGCCCCTGTGGCCCAGCCTGGGGTACCCGAGTCCAGCCTGGGCGCACCCGAGGGGGACCGGGGCTCACCTCCCCGCGGGGGCGGGGGAGGCGCTGGACCCCGGGCAGCTCCCGCAGGCGTGACGGTGGATGCCTATGTTGCAACCCTCGGCCTGTCCAGCTTCCAGTTTCTGTGATAATCAAATACGAGGATGCGTGTGAAAAGTGTGACTTCTCTGCAGACGTGCCAGTGGGTGTAGAATTCTCTGCGACCCCCCGCGTCTGGCCTTCTGCGGGCTGAATCCGGGGGTTCTTAAGGTTCCCGAGCTCAAAGTGATAAGATGCTTTGAATCTGTGAAATAACGGTGTTCGCGCAAATGTCTTTGCCACCAAATGGGCCCCAGCTTCCCAAGATCCAAACAAGAAATTATTATAGAAACGGTAGGAGAGCCGAGATTGGTTTTGTTTTGTTTTAGCGTTTTAAAATGGTGGAGGGTTTTTAATGAGTGAGGGAAGAGGAAAACGCAGTAATAAATAAATAAATAAATAAATAAATAAATAAATAAATAAATAAATAAGCAAGCCAGCTTCCTGTGTCCCCTGTTGTGAACATTCATGGAGGCTCCCCCCCCCCCCCCCCAGCACTGGGTGGAGGACACGAGAGAGGAGATGCTGCGTGTGTTTTTCAGAAAGCCTGAGAGACCGCCATGGAAGATAAGAAGCCCAAGCTCCACTATCCCAATGGCAGGGGCCGGATGGAAACCATACGATGGGTTTTGGCTGCGGCTGGAGTCGAGGTACCTCTTATGCTGTGTCTTCACAGATTTGACTTGAACCTTTACGACTTTTGAGGAAAACGTATATGGGAGAGCCCTGAGGTAGTCCTCTCCCCCTAATATTACAGGCCTGCTTCATGGAGTCAGAGGATTCCTTCCTTTCCATCTTTCCATCTTTTTCCCCTTGTAAAAATGGTAGATGGATTTCTATTTTGCTTTTGACTTTTACTTAATCATTGGCTTCTAATCTGCCACCAATAAATATTTATTAGTAAGGAGAAAAGGAAGGAACCTGACAGTTGCCAATTATTCCCAAATATTTTGTTCATTATACGAGGTCCCAGTAAATTTCTTGTCTGCCCAGTGTTTTTGTTTTGTTCTTTTAGCTTCTTACAGGAATTTTCAGGTAGGAACAAAGGTAGAGAGGACATTGCCATGAATTTTATGTACCTTTCACCCAGCCTCAAGGATCAGTTAACTTTATTTGGTGATTACCAAAGGGAAAAGGGGTTGGAGGGTGGTACAATAAAGTAAAGGGGGAAATAGATGGTGATGGAAGGAGGCTTGACTTTGGGTGGTGAACACACAATATAATACACCTGAAACGTATATAATTTTATCAACCAATGTCACCCCAATAAATTCAATAAAATTTTTAAAAAATCATCTACTTTATGCTAATCTTATCTACCTCTCCCCCTCCCTTGTTTTTTGGGAGTATTTTAAAGCAAAATCTAAACATGGTATCACATCACCAGTTTTTTATCTCTGAAAGATGAGGATCTTAGAACATGACACAATACCATTATTACACCTTACAAAACTAACAATTCTTTATTATTATCTAGTACTCAGCCTGATTGTCTCATATTGGTCTTTTTTTATAGTTAATGTACTCCAGTCTGGATCTTAATCAGGACCACACATTGCATTTGGTTATATTTCCTTCAGTATTTTAAAAATCTTTAGCAGTTTCCTCTGCATTAAAAAAAAAAAAAAAACTATTTGGGAGAAATTTTAGCTTTATAGCAGTTATAAAGATAGTGCTGAGCATTTCCTTATAACCATCACTCAGGTTCCCTTGATAACATCTTACATAACCATTGATGCATGACTAAACTGCAGACTGCTCGAAATTAACACTGATGCATGACTAAACCATAGACTACTCGAATTTAATTAGTGTTTTCACTAATGTCCTTTTTACTGTTCCAGGATCCAGCTTTGCATTGAGTCATATGTTTTCTTAGTCTCCCTCCATCTGTGACGGTTTCTCAGTCTTTATTTCATGACCTTGACGTTTTTGAAAAGAATTGGTCAGGGTTTTTTTGGAGAATCCTCCAGTTTGGGTATGCTTTGACATTTTTCTCACGGTTGGACTGGGGCTCAGGGGAAGAACAGCACCGAGAGGAAGTGCCCTTTTCCTTGCGTCACATTAGGGATGATGTGATAGTAATATGATTTCTCACTGGTGCCGTTAGCCTTGGTCACTTGGTGAGGAGGTTCTGCCAGCTCCCTGGTAAAGTGTCCATTTCCCCTCGTTTCCTTAGAAGCCAGTCATTTTTAGCCCACACTCAAAAGGGTGGGCATTAAGCTCCTCTTCCAGGGAGTATTTACATTTAGAATTCTTATGTAAGGGAGTTTGTCTTTCCCACCACGTAATTATTTATTCTGTCATTTATTAATATCAAAATTTGTGCACGGATAGGGTCCCTAGAGGCTTACCGGCCAGGGCTTCCCTTCCCCTGGCTGCCTGCTGCTGGGGCAGGGCTGTGGGGGGAGGAGGGGTGGAAGGCCAAGGGTGGTTGGATGGTCAGCCCCACCCCCTGGTCCAACTCCAGGTCGAACTCCCTGTTGAGGGGACAATTTGCATATTAGGCTTTTATCGTATAGGATGGTATTAACAGCCAAGATATGGTTGCTAAGTATTTTCATGCCATTTATTTGTGGGAGAACTGCCCTGTCAAATCGCCACCAATCTGCATTTAGCGGTCTTACCCTCATTTTAACATTTAGCTGTCTTACCCTCATTTTACTCTATTATTTTTTTTTTTTTTGTATTTCCTGTAAATGGCTAGTTGGATCCAGAGCTGTGATCAAATCCAGGCTCCTTTCTTTCTTTCCACATTTGTGTGTGTTTCCCCCCTGCCAGACTCCAGCAGAAGGATACTGGGGACATATTTCTGAAGTACGCCATCGGGGTGCGTGATGTCTGACTTTCCTTTTCAGCCATGCAGAGCTTGATCAGTGTGTTCTGGTGACGTCAGCCTGATCCACACGTAATAAGATTCCCCCATTACCGTTTCAGAGAGTGGTTTTAGCAGCTGCTGGTCTTCACCATTGCTGGGGATTACAAAATGGCGATTTTTCTATTTCTTTCATTTCACATGAATTTACTAACCATGGCTGTCTCAGAAAGAGAATTTTCCCGCTCGTTAATGATTTAGTTACTTCCAAGTGCAGCTCAAATAGGAAAGGCAAGATAAATGCTTGATTCGGTCTCTATCCATTTTCAGAATAATGAACTGTTACCCTGGCAACCTCCAAAGACGACAAATAAAGGTCCTTGAGTTTGGGGTTTTGGCTTCTTTGTGCATACACCATTATAACTCACACACTGTGTTTTACAGTTTTCTAGATTAGTTGATATCATTTTTATATGCAGTGCTGATTTCTGACTGCTTTTGAGAAGCTGGAAGATTTAATGACACCTGGCCCTCATTTGCATAGGCAGCGTTGCTGGGCCTGAGTAAGGACTGCCACTGCAGCTGGGCCCTTGAAGCACAGTCCCCTGCAGTCCCTGTTGTCTTAGGATGAATTTTCTAATGTATTAAGAGGGAGAGGAAAAAATTCTTAGTCCCATCACCTGAACCTAGTCTGTTTATGTCATCTGTCTAACCCTGTATGTTTCTGAATTTACAATTCTGGCTTATGTAACAAGTTCTGAAATGGATGTTTTATATGTATATGTAGTATGATCCTTCATCACATCCTCTCTCTTCCCAGTCTTCATTGTGCCTTGCCCCTCATGTTTTTCTATGAGTCAGGATTCTTGGTTTCATTGATGGAGACCCAACTGTCAATGAATTCAACAAAACAAAAGCATGGGTCATGTGACCTGCCTATCCTAGACTAATCGCAGTGGGCAGGTAGATGGGACGGAATAATTAGCCCAGCGTGATTCTTAGGCTCGCCCCTATGACCAGGGTGGAAGGAGCTTGATTGGCCTCCCTCACTTGGGCTGACCACACGGCTTACAGGAGCAATTTCCAAAAGGTGATATTTGGGAGAGCTCCTCCCATGTCTTTACCAAAGGATATTTTAGCTATGTTTGTGCTCGTACAGATCGAAACCATCGAGAGGGATGGGCTGGCAGCCCAGTGTCACAGTATCCAGTTGAGTCAGCTGGGTAGCACACATACATCTGAGTAAACAGCTAGCAATCTGCTGAAAGGCACAGGCCTTAACTCGGGAGTCAGCATCCTCCATCTCGGTCACTGGTTCAAGTCCTTGGACAGTGCTCTGTGCTGGGCATTGCTTCTCCACTGCTGGGGGCTCCACTTGCCTGAAGACCCCTGCTCCCAGTCCAGATTCCAACCACATCCCCTTGGTAAGAGGGGAATCAACGCATATAAAAGAGACGACGTAAGGGCTACGCGCTCCTAATGCAGGACGTCTGGTACTTCACTTAAAGAACTGAACTAGTGTTGAAGAAGTGAGTGCCGGGTGTGGGAAGGGCAGTTCTCCGAAGTTAGGGTGCAGAGACAACTGACTGTAGGTGGAAACCCAGCCACCGGCAGTAATTGGGCGAGAGTTGTCAGGTCCCTCCAAGCTCGACCTGATTTTTTTCCTTCCCTCTCATCTCCCCTCTGGTGCCATTTTCTTCTTACTGACTGGTTGGTAGTTTTTCAAAGTTTCCAGAAATCCCAAACCAGGCCCAGAATCACTGGGAAGGACTTGTCTTTAACATGCACGATGCTGGATCCAGTTCTCCCTCAGGAAGGACGTTGGTGTTGGGGAGATAGACTGCCACGCCTTCCAGTGCGTGGCCAGAATCTCAGATGTGTGGCCTTCTAGCCAAGCGTCTGCGATTTCATGGTGCTGGAAGCCATCGTTGTATCCCTAGGGCTTGCAGCTTCCCATTAGTTTGATGTGGCCGAAGCAAGAAAGAAGGCTGGAGGATTTCTACAGAGGCTATGATTCCATGAGAGATTTGGAGGAAGGCTGGTTTCTTTCAGAGCAAAGTGATCTTGCAATGTAAGGAATTTCTTTGGGTTGAATTCCATGGAAGTTTGTCATTGACCCGTGTTCCTGACCTATGAAACATGAATATTTGAGATAAGGAAAGAGTTTCTCCAGATAAATAAGCAATGAAATAGCATGGGGGGGGGGGGGGGGGAGAGATAAAATTAAAATGTACAATTCTGGTGTCTAAGCTACTGAAGCTGGGCCGGGGGTCGGACGCCCCCTCCCCTGTTTCCCATGTGTGTTAAGTGGTCTTGGTCCTAAATTCGGAGAGCAGTTGTGTGGAGGGAGCACCCCCAGCACCGTATCTGACCAGCCGGGCGTTTGGACCAATGCCCAGAACATTGCTGGCCTGAGCACCAGATAGAGTGTCTGTCTGCAGGGGCACTGAGGCCCCTCTCCTCACTCCAGGGGGACCCTGGCGAATAGCAGAAGCCCCTCTGCACCCCGTCTCCCAGTTCTCCCCCAAGGTCAGCTGGTTGAGACTCGAGGAGGGGGCACTGCCTTCTGTGCGGGTGAGCTCCGCCCGCCTTTGGCTGACTCGGGAGCAGCACAGGGACAGACATCCCGGGACACAGTGGGAAGAGGCCTCTTCCCGACATGAAGACGTGTTAGAACATTTTATAATATCAAGAGAAGAAGAACTTGTTTTCACTCTATTTCTCTCCTCCCCCAAACTTTTTAATCTGCAAGCGTTCAAACCTACAGAAAAATTGTAAGAGTACAATGGACACCTTCAACTAAACTTTATTTTAGCACTTTACCACATTTGCTTTCTCCCTTCCTGCCTCTCTGCTTCTATTTCCTCAGTCCTCTGGAAGTAAGTTGCAGACATCAGCACATATCTTCTTCCTGAGAATAAACTGTTGTGATAACCACAATATCCTTGTCACAACTAAGGAAAGTAGTGCTAACTTTACAATATCTAATATACAATCCCTGATGTCCCACAAATGACTATATATCCTTATCTAATAAAATAGTAATATGCAAATTGACCATCAGTCCAAGACACAAGATGGCTGACCCATGTGGACACAAAATGGCCACCACAAGATAGCCTGCAGGGGAGGGCAGTTGTGGGTGTTCAGGCCAGCGGGGAGGGCAGTTAGGGGTGGCCAGGACAGCAGAGGAGAGAAGTTGGAGGAGATCAGGTCTACAGGGGAGGGCAGATAGGGGTGACCAGGTTATCAGGGGAGGGCAGTTGGGGGTGACCAGGGGAGGGTAGTTAAGGGTGACCAGGTCGGCAGGAGAGGGTAGTTAGGGGCAATTGGGCTGGCCACGAAGCAGTTAGGAGTCGATCAGGCTGGCAGGGGAGTGGTTAGGGATGATCAGGCTGGCAGGCAAAAGCGGTTAGGGGCAATTAGGCAGAGGCAGGTGAGCGGTTGGCAGCCAGCAGTCCTGGATTGTGAGAGGGATCAGGCCTAAATGGGTGGTCAGACATCTTTCAAGTGGTCCCAGATTGGAGAGGGTGCAGCTGGGCTGAGGGGACCCCCCCCCCCTTTGCATGCATGAATTTCATGCACCGGGCCTCTAGTCTCTTATATTTGTATAGCAGTTATAGTTATCCCAGGATGGAGTCAAGATTCAGGCTTTGAGTTAAGTCTCTTTTCATCTAGAACAGTATATGCTTCCTCCTCCTTCCATCCTCATGTTTTTGGCTCTTTGAAAGAATCCAGGCCATTGATGTTGCAAAATTTCCATGTTCTGGATGTGCTTGATTTTCACCTCCAGGTTCAATGTTTTGGGAAATGCTTTCACAGAGCTATTGTAACCGTCTCTTAGCAGCAAGCACAGGACAGCCCGAGTGTCCCCCAGTGGGCAGCTGAGTCTGACCACGTGGTTGGATAGCTGGTGAGACCTCTGGATCTCTCCATTGCAAAGAAATGTTGTTCCTTTGTCATAATGAAGTAACTCGTGACACTGTGTGAGGTTGTGTGCCCATGGCCCAGTAATTTCATTGTAGGTTGCAAATTAGCTTTTTTCTAATTTTATTAATTAGCCATAATTACACATTAACTAGCATAACTAGCATTAATTCTGCTATATATTTTTAAAAATATATTTTATTGATTTTTTACAGAGAGGAAGGTAGAGGGACAGAGAGCTAGAAACATCCACCATCTGCCTCCTGCATACCTCCCACTGGGATGTGCCTGCAACCAATGTACATGCCCTTGACCGGAATCAAACCTGGGACCCTTCAGTCCGCAGACCCATGCTCTATCCACTGAGCCAAACCGGTTTCAGCTAATTCTGCTATATTAAAAACAAAAAACAACAAAGAACTTTCTTCTCCCCCCCCTCCCCCCGCTTTTTAGTATCATTCTGGATGGGGGGGTGGGAGAGGAGGGGTTGGTTGGTGTGTGTTACAATCCATAACTGACGTCACTCATTTTGATGCTTGAGTTGTCCCAGATTGGGCCAGGGAATGACCCGCAGGTAGGGTCCTGAGTGCCTTTGCTTTGCCACAGCTCTTGGTCTCTGGTCGTCTCTGTTCCTGACGTGACAGAATCCACCTTTCCTCCCAGGAGCCCTGGTCTCCTTAGCGGGCAGTGATCTTTAGAAACCAAGATGTGGGTACAACGTGTGCTCTTTCCCTGGGACTTCCCAGCAGTTTAACATGGAATGTGCCGTCCTGGGCCTGCAATGACATGTAACCTTTTCTTTTTTACAATTTAGTTCGAGGAAGAATTCTTGGAAACGAAAGAACAGCTGCAGAAGCTGCAGGACGGTGAGTGTGGCGAGGAGACCACTCGGGAATGCTGGTGTTTTAAAAAGAGCTGACATGCATGTGGAAGGGTGAAGACCCTGGGACACCAAACATTTAGGACAGTGTCCTAAACCAGACCGGCGAGAAGGAATAATCGCAGAAACTTTGAGGAAGTTGCTTCTGATCCAGGGTTCTGTAAGAGGCTGAAGAGAGAGAAGTTCTTCGTTCCATCCACATAAGCCCTTCTCCATCCCTCTCTCCTCCCCTGCCCTCCTACAAGCTCCTTTACCCCTCCCTCCATCTTTGTCATCCCTTCCCTCTCCTCTTACTTGCCCCGCCTCTTTCTCCTCCTCCAAATTCTCTGAGGCATGGGGCCTGCGTAAGAGTCCCCTTTATGCTGGGCTGCATTTCCGAAGTAAATACCAAGCAAAAGGAATCAATAAAAGGCCCGCATTAGCTCCCGGTCAGCCCCCCCCTCCCTCCCCCCCCCCCTCGCCACACCCAGCCTTCCACCCTCAGGACGCCCTGGAGTGGGACCAGCTGTCCAGGCTGCAATGCCACCTGTCCGGTGACACTGCCTGACAGCCCCAGGCACTGGCCAGTGCTGAATGCTCATTGCCTCCCCGCCCCCACAGGCCCAGCCTTGGAGCCCCTGGACTTGCATCTCTCCCTGGGGCTTGAAAGTGTTGGGTGCACGTTTGTTGGAGAAAGTACTGGGTTACGTTTTGAGGCAGCTCACTTGGTAGTCCATGGTCTGTGGCTGTGAAAGGGACAAGGCCACGGGTGGATCTGCGTGGCCGTGGGTGATTCAGGCGCCGTGGTCAGGAGAGTGCAGTCAGGAGAACATCCTACAAGGGATGGGAACGCTCTTCTGCACTGGCCAGTGCAGGAGCCACTGGCCTCTGTGCCTACTGAGCACTTGAAATGTGTCTAGTGTAACTAAGGAGCCAAATTTTCACATTTTCATTAATTTAAATGCAGGCTTCACTAGACATGTGCAGCTACTAACTACTGTTATACTAACTACTGTTAATTGGCCAGCACAGATCTGAAGAAGTGTCTTCACTCCATTTCCACCCCCTTTCACTGTGGGGAGGAGTTTTTCCAGGGGTGAAAAGGAAAGGGGCAAGTTTCAAACAAAACGAGTTTTCAGGCTTCTTAAATAAATAAATAAATGAATGAATAAATAAATAGTGATTTCAGAGAAAGGAGAGGGAGAGAGAGGTAGAAACATCAATGATGAGAGAGAATCATCTATCGGCTGCCTCCTACACGCCCCACACTGGGGATTAAGGCCGCAACCCGGGCATATGCCCTGACTGGGAATCAAACTGTAACCTCCTGGTTCATAGGTCAACGCTCAACCACTGAGCCATGCTGGCTCAGCCCGGCTTTTATGGCAAAATCTGCTCCCCCAATGAAGTTGAGGTTACCTGTCTGTCATCAGAGGGGTTTTATACCATTTCCCAAGGCCGTGTGGCCCCATTGTCCTTTTTCATTCCCCAAAGTACCTCCTTAGGGGTCAGGGGACAGGGACGAGATCACCTCTAACTCTGGGCTCCCTTCTCAGGTAACCACCTGCTGTTCCAGCAAGTGCCCATGGTTGAGATTGACGGCATGAAGTTGGTGCAGACCCGGAGCATTCTCCACTACATCGCGGACAAGCACAATCTCTTTGGCAGGGACCTCCAGGAGAGAACCCTGTAATGTGGCCCCTCTTGAGTGTTGTTATATGTCAGCTTCCTGATGCATTGCAGCACCCTGTCTGCTTTATGTCTGGGATCACTAGTGTGGACAGGGAATGGACACCTGGATTGGTCATGAAGGCCAGTTGGGAAATCAGTACAGAGAATCTGAGTAAAATGATAGAAACAAATTGAATTCAGGTAGTGGAGCCGATATCGGGTGTGTGGTGGTTGCAGGTTTCTTCTTTTTCTTCTTCTTCTTTCTTTTTAATAATATATTTTATTGATTTTTTTTTTTTTTTTTTTTTTACAGAGAGGAAGGGAAAGAAAGAGAGGGAGAGAGAGTTCGAAACATCGATGAGAGAGAAACACCGATCAGCTGCCTCCTACACACTCCTCACTGGGGATGTGCCTGAAACCAAGGTACATGCCCTTGACTGGAATCGAACCTGGGACCCTTCAGTCTGCAGGCCGATGCTCTATCCTCTGAGCCAAACTGGTCAGGGCGGTTGCAGGTTTCAACATCTTTAAACGTTTTGCTAATACTTTTTACCTTTCTTGCAAATCTGTTACCATTGAGTATTAGGAATAGGAAGCTTCGGTGACATCTGAGGCCTGGGATACTGTGCCTTGTATTATAATGTGAATTCAGAGCCTGGCCCTTGTACCTCCTGGATACATGGCCCCGGGCAGTGTGTTAAGCTGGAATCCTGATGAGTGGCCTGTGCAGTGGGGTAGTGATAGCACATCCCTCATAATGTCATAGGATTCTGTGAACTCACAGATGCAGTGTTTAGCACCATGCCTGATGCATACCAAGCATTCCAGAAATGGTATCCGCTCTTTTTTTTTTTATTATTATTATTATTATAAATGTGGCATTCCATGCACACTGCGCATGTGTGTGGAGTGAGAGTGAAGGAGTAGGGGCTGGGGAGAGAGGGCCGTCATGGCTATTGTGTTGTCTGATTTGTACAGATCTTCCTGAAGGAATTTTTCGAACAATAACTAGAATTGTTTGTGTCTTTCCTCATAAGAGATAGGTGTAGATAAATGTTCTTGGTACTTCAGATGCCTTATGGGAAAAAGCACTCTGAATTCTTAGTTGTGGAAGCCGGTGAGTTCTAAGAAGGGGAAACTAAGAAACCTGCTTTTTCGTTTTAAGGATTGACATGTATGTGGAGGGGACGCTGGATCTGCTGGAGCTGATTATCATGCACCCTTTCCTGAGACCAGATGATCAACAGAAGGAAGTGGTTAGCATGGCCCAGAAGGCTATTTTTCGGTACTTCCCTGTGTTTGAAAAGGTAGGTGACGGAGAAGCCTAAGAAAAGAGCATAAGCAGACCACCAGGGAGCTGCCACCAATGCCCCTTCCAGCTCAGGACAGTGTGAGGCTGAGCCGCACTGGACTAAGCTGGCGGGACCCCTGAGAGCTGCCAGTAGCCCTGAGCACAAAGCCAGGGTGGCGTGGAGCTCTCTGACCCACTGGGACCACATTATTCAGAAGTCTCGGAAAATCTGGGCTCAGCACTCTGTGGATCATCATTCCTTAAGTTCACCCGGTGCCCGCCCTGTGTAAGATACAGATAAGCAGACACTCCCTAATCCATTTGCTCTTTCATCCCATGGACCTTTGCTGAGCAGCGTTGTTATCTGACATCCTACTTAACAGTTTGATGTGAAGAGAAGAACCGCTGCTCTTTATTTCCCTTTGCTCTTTTTTCCTGTTTTGTAATTTACCTTGTCTTACTGCTTTTCTGAACGTCAAGCTCCTTTTTCTCAGCTGAGAGGAACTGTGTTTGGATGTTTCAAGTAAAAACACACAGGCAAAAGAAGGCAACATAAAAATATGAAATTGGGAAACGTCCTCTGGCCATCTTCATGGAATTAGATCTCCTGGGTGTTTCCATCACTTGCTTCCAGGCTCTCTCGCCCACAGGCACTCCGTGAATGTAAAATATGCTAATGCAGAAGTGTGGGGTGACCTGGGGGGAGCAGGTGCCTTGGGGAAAGGCTGTTGCTGGTTCTTATGTTCTTATGTTGCTGGTTCTTATGTCCCCAGATAGTGTCAGGGCTCCTCCCCAACACCTGAACTAAAAATGGCTACCCATCTTTTATACAAAATGAAGCAGAATCACTGAGAGAGGGAGTGATATGCCCGAGGAGGAGAGCTGGGAACGAAACTCAGCCCTAGGACTACAAATGCTGCATTCGCTGTGTTCCCCCACTTTGGCTGCACTGGCTGTTTGATTTGGAATCATGGGCCGGGTCCCTGTCAGTCATACACACTGCACATACATCCTCGCACTCGTGAGCATCTGAGAGTTGTCTGCCAACAAAATCTTCCCTCTCCTACTGCGGTTCCTATGACTGCATCTCTGTGGTACTCTCAGAATGGAAGCAAGATAAACTCTCATGCTTTTCATTTTTTTCTGGCTTAGAAGCTTTGCGAGGAAGCCTGCTTTTTTATAGTGACGTCCAGTTGATCACAAGTGCTGATGTTTGTACAAACCTCTGCAAACAAGATTAGACTCCTTGGCTAGGATCTATATCTTATTTCTTACAGTGCTCTCCGCCCTCCCCAGCCTCCTGAATTCATGAGGGCTGCATCATTTCTGTAGACATATTTATGGAATCAATGTATTCTTTGAAAGCATAAATCCAAAATTAATACGTCCTTTCCCTTTAAATGTTTCATTCAGATATAAAGTAGGTATTTTATGGTGCTGTAATTTCTATACCTTTTGTCCACACACATTCTGACACAGGGAGCTTCCTCTTAATTGATGTTCTTAATAAAGAGGGGAAAGGATAAGGCCGGAGTGTCACCCCTTCTCAGATACGGCACAGGTTCGAAAGCTTCATCAGCCTCTCTGTGTGGAGTACTGTGACTGATGCAGAGCACTTCCTCCTGCAGGTTCTGAGGGACCATGGACAAAGGTTCCTCGTGGGCAATCAGCTGAGCCTTGCAGATGTGGTTTTACTCCAGACCATTTTGGCTCTAGAGGAGAAAATCCCCAATATCCTGGCTTCATTTCCTCACCTCCAGGTAAACAAAAGCACATATTGGAAGATTGGCCCAGAACTTTTAGGCCTGCCTTTGGTGTCTGTGGATTGGTTGGCTGTGTGTGTGTGTGTGTGGGTGTGTGGGTGTATGTGTGTGTAACTTTTTTAAAGTCTAGTTGGTAAAATGAAAGGAAGGTACAGGCTTGAAATTGTTTTTCCACTCCACAGATCTGTGGAAATGAAAGGTCACTTACCTTCGTTTTGTTCCATAACTACACTTTGGGACAATCCCTAGCATTAGCCAAAAGGGACTTTTCATAGCAGTCATTGCAGGGACAGGGTGCTCCTCAGCTGTTACTGCTCAATGTACTGACCAGGAGGGTGTGAGCATCAGCATCAAAGACCGTCTCCTCACCAGGGCATGGCCCCCTGTCTCAGAAGTCATGTGTCAAATGGAAATGTCCAAGCCTGCATTCTGAGAGTGAATAAGAGGCACCCTGAACATCGTTCTAGAGTTCCCATCATTCCTCTTCCCAGAATTCCCAAGGAAAAGACGTGTGTGTGGCTCAGCTTATTGCTCACTGTTGTTCTGGCAGGATTGATGATAGAATTTTGAAGCAGAAAGGGGTTTTAAAAAACAAAACTTATCCAAAGCCTTCACTATACATGAGACCCAGAGTAAAGAAATCAGCAACCGAGATGGCCCAGCTAGTGGGTCCCTGAGTTTTGTCTGGAAGTTTAGCCTATATCTGCAAAGTCTGATGGGGTTTCCTCTATCCTGGGGGTGGGCAAACTACAACTCCCCTCCCCCCAGCCCAGGCCAAATCAGGCCTGTCACCTGATTTTGTACAGCTCTTGAGCTAACAATGACTTTTGCATTTTTACATGGTTGAAAAAAGTTCCAAAAGAGTAATAATATTTCATGACACATGAAATTATATGAAGTTCAAATTTCAGTGTCACAAAGCCACACCCATTCATTTATGCATTGCCTATGCTGCTTCCGTGCGACCAAGGCAGAGTTGAGTATTTCTGTGAGAGATAATGTATGGCCTGTAAAGCCTAAACTATGGAAAGATTGTCAACCTTGATATAGACCACATTGATACATCTTTGACCAAGTCGTCAAAGGCCAGGAAAGACACAAACTTCATCTCCAAAGAATAACACACATACTTAAAAAAAAATTCTATTTTTTCCACCCAGCAGGTGTGGCTCAGTAGTTGAGCGTCGACCTCTGAACCAGATGGTCACAGTTCAATCCCCGGTCAGGACACTTGCTTAGGATGGATGCTTGATCCCCAGTATGGGGTGTGCAGGAGGCAACTGATTAATGATTCTTTCTCATTATTGATGTTTCTCTCTCTCTTTCCCTCTCCTTTCCTATTTGAAATAAATAAAAACATATTTTTAAAAATAGTAATTCCAAATCCAGGAAGTATCAGTCAGATATACTAACCAGAATAACAACCACCAGTTTAATGCATACATATAGAAAATGAGAATAAAAATATTCAACAAGGCAAATAGCCATTCTATAGTTTAACCATATGTTCATTTCTTCTTAAAGGCCCATTGAATGAAGGAACATTGTTTAACTTGACTTGAATACCAATATGTTCTTGAAGTAGCCTAGGGATCTACCGGTCTTTTCCATCCATAATGCTAGTGACACGTGTTTAAACACCAGGTACTTTTGTGTAAATACATTTTTAATCTCTGATCAGATCAAGCATCAATATTAAAGGACTTCAGGATCTAACACCAGATCTGAGTTTAATTAAAGGATCATTCCTACATTAACTAATGAGTTTTAAAAAGTCAAGAGTCACTACAGTTTTATTATACATAATAAGTATAAGCCACAAGTAAATCTTTAAATGATAAATCCTAGGAAACAAGCTTTTCAATATTGGTATAATATTCAAAATTAGAGAGTACAAATATTTCAAATAAGTAATAAAAAGAAGATTGTCATATTTCCATAGTATTGACATGATTAGAATAGTTTTTGTTAACATTAGTAACATATGTATGTTTGTGTGTGTGCATACTTAATGAAGGCCATGCTTTGTTTACAATCAACATTTAATAAATACTAGCTTTTTAAGTAAATGATCTCTTTACTTTGAAAGATATTATTAGAATAATTATATATAATGGATATATACTCTTCATATAATTCAGAACTTTTAGTGGATCAAGTAGATTTTTTAAGCAAAATGTTTTTATTAATTTCAGAGAGAGGAAGGGAGAGGGAGAGAGATAGAAACATCAGTGATGAGAGAGAATCATCAGTAGGCTGACTCTTGCACTCCACCCCTACTAGGGATCAAGCCCACAACCCTGGCATGTGCCCCGAGGGAGAATTGAACAGTGACCTCCTGGTTCATAGGTCGAAGCTCAACCACTGAGCCACACAGGCCAGGCTCAAGTAGACTTTTTTCTTAGTTACTGAGAGTTGGTAAGATATAACTCTATGAATGAAAAATATTCCATTCCAGTTTACATAAATATCTGGTATCTGAGCCCTAGGCTACAAAAAATACAACTGGCCATCTCTCACATGTAGCCCGAGAGAGGATTCATTTGCTATTAGAAGTGAAAAAGTCCAAGAAAGCTGAATCTTAAAATCTAAATTGTACTATCTGATGACTTTTTAAAACACTTTTATTTAAATGACCCATGCATTTTCTCTGGACAGATCAATTTCTTAAGTTACTTCCCAAGTCTTTCTTTTCCCTTTCTCTTTTTCTCTTTAAGCCAGTATCATAATCCTATTCTAAGTATCTTTTTAATTTTGCTATCTCTGAAAAAAGTTCACATTTTGGTGTGAACCGTGAGATTTGCATAAAGCCTGGCCCAGATGCCAGCTCCTGTTGGCAGAGAGTATAAATAATCGTACCCGGAGATCAGACCCTAAACAGATGCTGAGTTACAGTTCTGGTTGGGTCGCTGTAGTAAATCCTTTCTGAACAAACTCTGATAAGATGGCCATTTTGAACAACCACATTGTCATAGTGACTCATACCTTTGTGGTCAACCGTGAACTTCTGTGTTTTCCACTTTCAGGAGTACTCCGTGAAAGTAAGTAATGTCCCCACAATTAGGAAATTCCTTGAACCTGGCAGCAAGAAGAAGCCACCTCCCGATGAGATCTACGTGAGAACTGTCTACAACATTTTTATGCCGTCGTAAATCAACACCGATGTTTGTGAGTGAGAACTCGCCCCTAGAATTCGCTGTGCCCACACTAGTATCGTAGGCTGCCCAGTCCCTGCTCTGTCGTGGTGCTTTGTATAATTGTTCCTAAGTTGGGTCTTTCACGTCAAGGAGATCTCTTGTAGGAACACTGACATATTTGTGTCCAGTGGGTAATTGTTATGGGTCCTTTTTCTGAAAACCTTTCTGGAGAGGCTGACACGTTTGTTAGATCTGATCTGAACTCATTTCCTGATAACAGGGTTGGGTGGGACCTCAGGTTCTCCCTGAGCTTCTTTTCACCTCTCCTTACCCCATTCTGAACCCCAGCTGGTCTCTTCCCAATTTTTAGTGTTTAACAACAACAGAATATCTAGTGAGTATCTCTCTCTGAGCTATTATAAATCCCTAGTTAGTGATGAGTGCAGTCGATATTATTATAGCCAAAATAAAGAATTTTACAAATCATTGTCCTGTTGCTAGAATTGTTAAATTACTTGAAATCTACAATTACATGCTTCAAAAAGGTATAGAAGGCCTTACAGTTGGAAGTATTCTTTTCAGCCTTGCCCCCAGCTACCTGGTTCTCCCCACAGGCAAACATAGCTACCACTTATATATCTTTTCAGTTATATTTTATATATGTGTTAGACAATATAAATGTATGTCACGTTTGTCTTATTACTCAAATGTTCATTTGAAGGCTTGAATTTTTTGCATCTCAGACTGAAGGGATGATTTATTCACGCTGCTCTAAACACGTGCTGATTTTAGGTTAACTGAGCACCTATTATGTGCCAAGCAGCGTTCCAGGAGGCAGAACCCTAGAATAGAGCCCCCACTCTAGGGAAATATACCACTCAGTGGGGGAGATCCATGTGTAAACAGCAGAAGTAGTTTTGAAAAAGAAAGAAATGCTGGTTTTGGACTCTCTAATACTCAGAAATTTAAAAAGTAAGGAAAAGCACGTTTTTCATGATGGCCTATAGCAGGGACATATTCATCCCTTACTGCAGGAAGGGTTTTGCTCGGATTAAAAAAAAAAAAAAATAGCCATGAGGTGATCATGAATGCCTATCACACTCATAGCAAGGGCCTGTGTGTTTTATTGGAGGAAAGTCAAGTGTAGATAGACATCCAGGTAATTGTTTTGTGTTCGCGCTTTCACATTCTGAGCACTCTGTAGTCACACTAATATTTAGAATTTCTGGGTGAGCAAGGGCTTGGTGACATGTGGAGCCCTGGACCAGGCCCCAGGAGCAGTGGTGGCCAGTCTACTGCTCCTGAAGGAGACACCCTGGCTCCAGCCAGGATCCCGAGAGCAAGAGCCAAGGAAAAGAAGCAAGTGAGGGAGTGTGTTGTAGGGAAAAGACTCACCCTTCTCAAAAGGCCCGACCAAAGACAGGTCAGACCTCCACCTCTGGGAGGTGATCTCTAAGCCCTAGGAATGCCAGGCCTGATAGGAGTGTCTTTGTTTGCCTGGCGGCCTTAAGCCAGCCAGATAGTAACAGTGTGATTGGAGTCTCAGCAATAATGCCTTGTAGGGTGGGCGCTTTGGGTCTTGTGGTGTCAGCTCAACTATGGAGGAGCTGGAGTCGGATCCACCACATGGGCAGTCAGTTATGCCCATGTGATGGAGCCCCATTAAAAATCCAGGACTCAAAGCGTGGGTGGGCTTCCCTGTTGACAATACTCCATGTCCCACATGGTTGCCAGGAGGAGTCCATGCGCCCACGGCTCCACAGAGAAGACACCTGGAAGCTCAAGCTTGGAGCCCCCTGGACCCTGCCCCTGCGTCTCTTCCCCTGGCTGGTTTCCGCCTGTATCCTCTCCCTGTAATAAACCATAGCCGTGAGTATAACAGCTCTCCGTGAGTTCTGTGAGTTCTTTGAGCGGCTTGCGAACCTCGGGATGTTTTTTGGGGCACCCCCTTGAACTTGCAAGTTGGTGTCGGAGTGAGGGTGGGCTTTTGGCCTGCTCCTTCTAACCTCTGCCAGGAAGAGAAACGTTTACACTCATTTGAAGACTAATTTACACCATGGAACCAGACACGGACATCCTAACGCCCAGAGGTCTGTATTATGGGACTGTGTAGGATGGCAGCATATTTGGACTACTGTACACTGTTTCCATGTGATTTTACTCTCCGGTGCCACTGCCTGACAATATAAATTGAGGGTTTGCTGTATAGACCTTAGGCCATTTTGTCAACATTGCCCTTTGGATTTTAATTCTCTTAGCCACCAGGGGGCCCTCAATGCCGGCTCTCTGAGGAAATGCCAGGAGGAAGTTTGGCTTCTGCACTGAATTAGAGGATTACAGAAAATAAACACAAGGGGCGGGCTGTTTCCAGTGAGGACAGATTCCCATGTCTTTCCTGCTCATGGTTACATGACCTTAAATTGTGCAATTCAGTTGCCATATTGGCAATAAATCCCCCCCCCCACCCCAGCCACTCCCCTCAGGTCAGGCGAACCAGTGAGGTTAAAGGGCACAGCCATGTATAAATAGATCAGGTTACAGAGGCCTGGTGTCTGGGACCAAAGGGGAAAGCTGATGGTGTGAGGCTCTGTGTCTGTGACGGAGGAGGAGGTGCAGCGGGTAAGGAGCCTGGGACCCAGCATTAGCCACTCAGAAAGGCTTTGGCAGACTGGGTGCCTGGAGGAACACCTGAGCACCTCCTGCTGCCTGGCTGGGGCGGCTGGTAGGGGCCAGCCTCCTGGGAAACCCAACAGAGCAGAAAATGAGTTCCACTGGGCAGGGCCTGCTACAAACAACACCCAGTGTGGGCCCTTGTATTTGCTGGTGTTCCCTCTTCATCGAATGTGCCCAGGAGATTGCAGGGTGGGTTTCTTCTTTTCCTATGGGCACCCATGTCCCCACCTAAGGGAGTCCCTCAGAACAGAGGCCTGCAGCACTCCCCGAACACCCAACTGCCTCTTTCTCATTTGGTTCATTTGCAACTGGACTGATATGCAGCTTATAGTCAAGTACCCTCTGGCAATTTTATCTGTTTAATCAGTCTCTGACTTTATAATTAACGTGGGTTTCTTGTAGAAAATATAATTGGTTTCAGTCCACCCGTAGTCTTTGTTTTTTTGTTTGTTTGTTGTTTTTTTAATTTGTCTTACCTTTTATTTTATTATTATTATTATTAATTTTATTGATTATGGTATCACATAATTGTCCTCATCCCCCCCATTCCCATCCCAAACCCCTCCCCACATATGCCTCCACCCCCCTGTTGTCCATGGCCACTGGCTAGGCCCATATGCATGCACACAAGTCCTTTGGTTGATCTCTCCCCTTTACCCCCAACCCTTCCCTACTTTCCCTCTGAGATTTGAAAGTCTGATTGCTGCTTCTTTTTCTCTGGGTCTGTTTTTGTTCATTAGTAGTCTTTGTTTTTTAATTGATGTATTTAAGACCACATTTAAAATCCTTATTGTCATGCTGAATTCATTTCTACCATGTTGGTAACTTTTCTATTTGTTTCCCTTGTTCTTTGTTGTTGTTTTTTCTTTTGTCTTACCCTCTTTTTCTGCATTCTTTGGTTTTAATTGAGCCTATATATGGTTCCATTTTTTCTTAGCATGTCAATTATAGCTCATTTTAAAAAATAAATATTTTTTTTGATTTCTGAGAGGCAGTGAGGGAGAGGAAGATAGAAACATCAATGATGAGAATCGTTGATCGGCTGCCTCCTGCACACCCCCTACCAGGGATGGAGCCTGCAATCTGGGCATGTACCCTTGACCAGAATCGAACTCAGGACCCTTCAGTCCACAGGCCAACACTCTATCCACTGAACCAAACCAGCTACTGCTATAGCTTATATATTTTTTTAAACTTTAATGTGTTGCTTTAGAGTTTGAATATATATATATATATATATATATTTAAGCTACACTAAGACCACTTTCAAATAACACTATACTGCTTTACAGGCAGCACAGGCACCTTATAACACAGCATTCCCAATTCCTCCCTCCTGCCCCTTATAATATTGCCATCATAGATTTCACTTACCCATAAGCTGTAATCATCTGTTATACTGTTGCTGGTATTATTTGAACATACTACATTTATTTTCTATGTATTTATACTGTCCATCTTCCCCCACTAGAATGGAAACACCACAGGTGTAGGAATTGGGCCTGTCATGGCCACCATTTTAGAGTCAGGGCCAGAACGGGTATTCAGTATTGAGTGAGCCAGTGGAGTCTTCCTTTCTTCTTCCTTGAGTAACTCGGTGTGCTATCAGATACACTGATAATGGATGTAAAGTGAAGCTCTGGGGTGTGTACAAACTGGAATACTCACTGGCTAATCCCTTGAGAGGGCGGAGCTTGCAACTGGACTGATAGGGTTATAAACCTTCACTTCGTCCCCCACCACACCAGAGACAAGAGCCAGGAAGTGATAAGGTTAGTGGTTAAATTTTTGTATACTTCCTTGGGCTTGGTTGGGTAGTTACATTTTGTGGTCAAATATGCAGCTTATAGTCAAGCAATTGTTTTAACTTTGTGCTTAATTTAATGCCTATATTTCTAAACTTACCTGTGTCAAGTGAAAGGAACAGATATCTTTTCCCTGCAGAATAGATACATAAATGAACACGATATGGCTGGTTACATCTAGGCCTTTTGAAGACTTTCACAGCCTATGTCTGATCACATGGTACCAGACATGAATGTCCCTCACATCCATGTCACACATTACATGTGATAGGACAGTGGTGCTTCAGTTGATTGATGGACATAACAGACCTAGCAGAACATAAACATGTATTACTATTTGAGCCATTACATTTTTCCTTCTTAGACAAATTTCATATTTTTTATAGTTGAAAAAACAGAGATGCCACCTGCTCTGTGCCGGGCTGCTAGTGGGTAAACTACTTCGAGGTGTCTACTCCGCTATGCTTGGAAGATTTCATCCAAATAATCTGCCCTGGGGTCTTCCTCTGGGGTCTTGCATGCCTGGGGAACTGCAAA